ATGACGCAGACATCCCCTAAGAAAGGATTTTGATAAATTCCACCCCTAAGGGGATAAGTTAACGCGAGCGAAGCCCCGTGCAAAAGCTAGTGCTTTATATATCGAAAACTGGTGATATTATATCCACTTTACGAGTAAGTGTCTTGAAAGTGTATCATCACCATCATCTCAGTCCACTGCTGGACAAAGGCCTCCCCTAAAGATCTCCACGACGATCGGTCCTGCGCTGCTCGCATCCAATGCCTTCCAGCGATCTTGACCAGATCGTCGGTCCAACTTACTGGAGGCCTTCCCACGCTGCGTCTTCCGGTCCGCGGTCGCCACTCGAGGACTTTAATGCCCCAACGGCCATCTGTCCTACGAGCTATGTGCCCTGTCCATTGCCATTTGCCACTTCAGTTTTGCAATTATTTTTTAAAATGTATATTACAGTATAATTTAATAATTCCCCCATTCATTTACGAAATAATCACTTCTGATTATTGCAATGTTTTGACATTTCGGCCATTTTGGTTATCGTTGCGGAACCGCGAGGGGACGAATTCGAGGGTTGCAATTAGGGTTGTCACTTTTTATACAGTTAAAATGAATTGTATTTTATTTTTATACCAATGTATATAAAAATAAAATACAATATATTTTTCTTTGTTATTACATTTAAAAACATTTTTTATTGTTTTTTTTGCAGTTTTACTCATGAATACAAATTTGTTTATTTTTACGGTGATGGTTTAACATAATCTATATATATATATATATATATAACTCAAAGGTGACTGACATAGTGATCTATCAACACAGCCCAAACCACTGGATGGATCGGGCTAAAATTTGGCATGCAGGTAGATGTTATGACTTAGGCATCCGCTAAGAAAGGATTTTGATTAATTCTACCCCCAAGGAGATAAAATAAGGGATGAAAGTTTGTACGAAAGGACTTTCTAGAATTTACTAGGACTACCGTCCTCATAATATCAAATATTGAGGATATTTGATATTATGAGGACGGTAGGGGAAAAAATTATAATGTAAAAACTTGACGTTCATAAGCGGCTAAAATGTCCTACATGAATAAATGATTTTTGAATTTAAATTTGATTCCTTAAAGCAATCATGTAAGTATAATGTAGAACAAGTTGAGAAATTTATAGATTTGTAATCCAAGCGTGTGAAGTAAGGACGAGTAGAATAATAAAAGTAAAATCACCACAGACTATTAACATTTCTATTATCTATGGCCGCACGTGCACAGATAGAGTAATTTGATAGTGATGTGTCGCGGTTGCTTACGCCTACATAATTATATTAAGATAAAATATAAATGGAATTGGATATTCGTATATTCATATTTTTGTAATGAATGATAATGTAATGTATTTGATTTATTTACTAGCTGTTCCCGCGATCCACAAGACTACGAGAACAAAGTTCTCGTAGTCTTGTGGATAGAAGGCTGAAAATTTAGGGTTGTATGTATTTTAAATGACACATTATAAAACAATGCAAAAATGAAATATAGTTTTGGGGTGAGCCACCCTTACTTAGGGTATAAAAAATAGTTATAAACCTATTCTCAGACCTACTGAATATACATATAAAAATTCATCAAAATCGGTCAAGCGTTTTCAGAGGAGTATAAACATGAAAGCTGTGACATGAGAATTTTATATATTACTAGCTGTTCCCGCGACTTCGTCCGCGTGAAATTTACCTTTATTTTCTAAAATATAAGAAATTTTCTAAAATAAAAGTATGTAGCCTAAGTTATTCTTTATTACATCAGCTACCTGCCAATAAAAGTCCCGTCAAAATTGGTCCAGCCGTTTTAGAGATTAGCCGGAACAAACAGACAGACAAAAATTGTAAAAAATGTTATTTTGGTGTAGTATTTATATTTATAGACATGTAGTAAAAAACGATTATTTCAATATTACAAACAGTCACTCCGATTTTATTTATATGTGTAGATTTATAATTCTTTATTGCACCTATATTAAAAGCAGATACATAAAAAAATACTGCAATATATCAAAGGAAGAAGAGTTATGTCCGTATTATCCAAAACTTTTATTTCGGATTCGGTTACGGTTATGAATATTTTTTTATACCGAAACTATCGGATATTCGATATCCGATAGTTTCGGTTACAATTACCCTATTTTTTATTTTCATTGGGTTGATTGAGCTATTGTCAGATGTTTGTAGCACCTATAGCACTGCGACCTACATAGATCTATTGTGATCCTTTTTCAAAGTTCGCTACCTAGACCCGTCAGGGACAAGAAATGAAGGATATTCTTAAGAGCGATGGTTTTTATCTCCTCAGGATAGAGTGTGAACTTTCCAAAGGAGATATTTCGTTTATGCATGATGGAGTTCCCTAACATTCCTGATAATAAACAGATTCTGTCAACATCTCAAACTGATATTTTATATTTAAAACCTTTAATACATATAATATTTATGGTATTATGCACCCGCTTGTGCTAACGGTTTACACTGGCGGGGCACCAGTGGATGATGATAAGATGAACATGAGGTCAGGTCAGTTAGCACATTGTACCAAGTAAAATTTTTATTTCATGGATGATAATGGAATGACGCACCCGCCTGCGCTAACGGTTTACGCTGGCGTGGCACCAGTGGAGGATGATAAGATTATTAAAATCACTATTATCCTGACGACTTAGACGTAATGGCAGTTGATCAGGGAGAGAAACACCTCAATGCCTATTCATGCTCATCTCTTATTTGTTCTTATTATAATATCAACACTCCATCTTTTTCGCTCCAAAACTCCCGCTGCCTCCGTTCAATCATCCGTCATGCACTTGTCAATGTCACACAGATTACTTTGGCTCTGGCCTCTGACGTTCCGTTTCAGGATTCATGATTATTGACTTTACCATTTTTAATTAATGGTGCGTCACAGGCAAGATGAACATGCAGGTCAGTCCATAAATGTTATAAATTAATCAGAAATATAAAATATCAGTTTGAGATGTTATACAGAATCATTGTTGGCATTTATCAGTCCACATTATTAACAATCCCTTTTTTACATACAATTCACGCATAAACGAAATGACATAAATACTTAGATGAGCATGAAGTGAGGTCAGCACATCGTGGTAAATTTATTATTATGATTCTTTCCAGGGGTAACAGCGTAAGGCGGGTGCGTCATACCATTATCAAAATGAAAAAAAAAATTACTTGGTACAATATGCTAACTGACCTGACCTCATGTTCATCTTATCATCCTCCACTGGTGCCCCGCCAGCGGAAACCGTTAGTGCAGGGTCAACCTTGGAAGAATCACCTTCCATAGCGTTGGTGTAATTAGTTTTACTAACAAAATCTACTCTCTATATTGCTTTTTGAGCAATGGTAATAGTCAACTAATACAACTTACTAATATAATAAACGCGAAAGTTTGTAATTAAGGATGTTTAGATGGATGTTTGTTATTCTTTCACGCAAAAACTACTGAACTGATTTTAATGAAACTTTACAATATACAGACTATACTTATATTGTATATATAATGTACTGTAATGTTATCCTAATTTGTATTGTTTTGGATTGGTTAATTAACACAGGCTTACATATTAGGTACATTACACTGTGAGCACAGCTAGTTTAAAAAAACAGAAACGTTATGCTGAAATAAATTTATTTCCAAATAATATATCCGAAACATAAGATAATATTAACAATAAAATAACAATACCTAGAAATATTACAACATACAGACGAATATTACAAACAGACAGATTATTGTAATAACAAAAATATTCATTGAAATTTAACATTAAATGTCATCATTGTTAGGCATTTCAACTTTTTCACTTTTGAACAAAGATTTGTACCCATAATTATGGTTTTATAGATGAATTAAATGAGTCAGATGATGTTATATACATGCATGGATGAATTAGATGTATATTAGTCATATTTGTAATAACAAAGATATTCATTGAATTTAACAATTAATTTCATCATTGTTAGTCTTTCAATATCACTTTTTAACAATGTGATGCACCCATAACTGTGAATTTAGGGATGAACTAAGATGTAAATTAGTCAAAAATGCAAATGTAAACATGTAGAAACAACTAAAGCATAACTATGTAAGAAGAATTAATCAATTAAATACGCTAAGTTAAATGTAATATTGGTAACATTTTCTTCTTGATGCATTTTGATGTTTCTTACAGAAATGTTATGAATTATTAATGATACATAAATTGTTGTTGAAAATATAACAATTAATAATGATTTTGTTGTTTGTTATTTGTAATACTCTAGGCTTAGTGATGATAATGAAAATGATATGAATAATATAATATTGGGTGAGCAATTTAAAATTTTTAACAGTAGCCAACATCGTATATATTATTATTATTAGCAAAATAGAGTTCTGGCATTATTTTAGAGTAAATAAATAATGAATACCTTAGAGAATGGTCGTAATTATAAAGCTGTTTAAATTATTGTCTACGCTACCAGATGAAGTCAATTTCTAAACGATTTACAATTTAGTTTTAATTCTACGTAACGTACCCAAACATTTAACAGCCGTTAATATACAAATGAATGCCCTTCCTCAAATTTTGCTGATGGAATATCGATGAATCAAAAGTTCTAACCAATTCGTCATTTCTAACCATACAGATATGTTATACAAGTAATTTCTAGGCAATTGATGGAGGCGATAAGCCTGGTGGTAGGTGATAATCACTCATAACATAACACTAGAAGAAGTACAATTGTGAATACGGACTTTCAGAAAGGAGGATCCGATATGCATATATCAAAGCTTCAATATCGCGTCGATTGGAAGATGCTGTTCGAACGATGATTGGAGATGATATCTACAATAGCGTTGTTGTGAAAAAGAATTATGCTTAAAAATTACAAAAAGATATAAAAGTAATCTTGAGTTTTAGACGAAATATCGGTAAGGTTAGATTAATATTCGACAATTTGGATATAAATTAGTCACACCCTTCCTCTTGTTGATTGCTTGATTCGTAACTACTAGACTGTGAACTTGAGCTAGATTGAGAACTTGAACTAGAGTACGAGCTAGATCCCTTTTTGCCGGATGATGAACTAGAGGAGTATGAGCTACTTGCAGCTTCACTGCTGCTAGCAGAACGAGAAGAACTCTTGCCATCAGAAGAAGAGGTACTACTACTTTCTGAACTACTGGAACTCCAAGATGAAGAACTAGACTTGCTCTTTTTAGAAGAAGAGTTGCTACTGCTATCTGAATTGCTGGAACTGGAAGAGCTGGAATCTTTTCCAGAAGAGGATGCGTTACTGCTACTTCCTGAGTAACTAGAACTGGATGCACTGGAATCCTTTCCTGATGATGATGCATTGCTGCTGCTTCCTGAGTAACTGGAGCTTGAGGCATTGGAGTCTTTGCCTGACGAGGATGCATCACTGCTGCTTCCTGAGTAACTGGAGCTTGATGCATTGGAATCCTTGCCTGATGAAGATGCATCACTGCTACTTCCTGAGTAACTGAGCTTGGATGCATTGGAATCTTTGCCTGAAGAAGACGCATTACTTCTGCTTCCTGAGTAACTTGAACTGGATGCACTAGAATCCTTTCCTGATGATGATGCATTGCTTGCTCCTGATGATGAGCTTGAGGCACTTCCTTGATGCATTACTGCTGCTTCCTGAGTAACTGGAGCTTGAGGCATTGGAGTCTTTGCCTGAAGAAGACGCATTACTGCTGCTTCCCGAGTAACTTGAGCTGGATGCACTCGAATCCTTGCCTGATGAAGATGCATCACTGCTGCTTCCTGAGTAACTTGAGCTGGATGCACTGGAATCCTTGCCTGACGAAGATGCATTACTTCCACTTCCTGAGTAACTTGAGCTTGAGGCACTGGAATCTTTTCCTGATGAAGATGCATTGCTGCTACTTCCCGAGTAACTGGAGCTTGAGGCATTGGAGTCTTTGCCTGAAGAAGACGCATTACTGCTGCTTCCTGAGTAACTTGAACTGGATGCATTAGAATCCTTGCCTGACGAGGATGCATCACTGCTGCTTCCTGAGTAACTTGAGCTTGAGGCATTTGAGTCTTTGCCTGAAGATGACGCATTACTGCTGCTTCCTGAGTAACTTGAACTGGATGCACTCGAATCCTTGCCTGACGAAGATGCATTACTTCCACTTCCCGAGTAACTTGAGCTTGAGGCATTGGAATCCTTGCCTGAAGAAGACGCATTGCTGCTGCTTCCTGAGTAACTTGAACTGGATGCACTGGAATCCTTTCCTGATGATGATGCATTGCTGCTGCTTCCTGAGTAACTGGAACTTGAGGCATTGGAGTCTTTGCCTGAAGAAGACGCATTACTGCTACTTCCTGAGTAACTTGAGCTTGATGCACTGGAATCTTTTCCTGATGAAGATGCATTGCTGCTACTTCCCGAGTAACTGGAGCTTGAGGCATTGGAGTCTTTGCCTGAAGAAGACGCATTACTGCTACTTCCTGAGTAACTTGAACTGGATGCACTGGAATCCTTTCCTGACGATGATGCATTGCTGCTACTTCCTGAGTAACTGGAGCTTGAGGCACTGGAATCCTTGCCCGACGAGGATGCATCACTGCTACTTCCGGAGTAACTGGAACTTGAGGCATTTGAGTCTTTGCCTGAAGAAGACGCATTACTGCTACTTCCCGAGTAACTTGAACTGGATGCATTGGAATCCTTTCCTGATGAAGATGCATCACTGCTGCTTCCTGAGTAACTTGAGCTGGATGCACTGGAATCCTTGCCTGACGAAGATGCATTACTTCCACTTCCTGAGTAACTTGAACTGGATGCACTGGAATCCTTTCCTGATGATGATGCATTACTGCTGCTTCCTGAGTAACTGGAGCTTGAGGCACTGGAATCCTTGCCCGACGAGGATGCATCACTGCTACTTCCGGAGTAACTGGAGCTTGAGGCATTGGAATCTTTTCCTGAAGATGACGCATTACTTCCACTTCCTGAGTAACTTGAACTGGATGCACTGGAATCCTTTCCTGATGATGATGCATTACTGCTGCTTCCTGAGTAACTGGAGCTTGAGGCATTGGAGTCTTTGCCTGAAGAAGACGCATTACTGCTGCTTCCTGAGTAACTTGAACTGGATGCATTAGAATCCTTGCCTGACGAGGATGCATCACTGCTGCTTCCTGAGTAACTTGAACTGGAGGCACTCGAATCCTTGCCTGACGAAGATGCATTACTTCCACTTCCCGAGTAACTTGAGCTTGAGGCATTGGAGTCTTTGCCTGAAGAAGACGCATTACTGCTACTTCCTGAGTAACTTGAACTGGATGCACTGGAATCCTTTCCTGACGATGATGCATTACTGCTGCTTCCTGAGTAACTGGAGCTTGAGGCACTGGAATCCTTGCCCGACGAGGATGCATCACTGCTACTTCCTGAGTAACTGGAACTTGAGGCATTAGATTACTTTCCTGAAGAAGATGCATTGCTTCAACTTCCGGAGTAACTGGAACTTGATGCTTTAGATTTCTTTCCAGAAGAAGATGCATTGCTGCTGCTTCCTGAGTAACTGGAACTGGAAGCGCTGGAATCCTTGCCCGACGAGGATGCATCACTGCTACTTCCGGAGTAACTGGAGCTTGAGGCATTGGAATCTTTTCCTGAAGATGACGCATTACTGCTGCTTCCTGAGTAACTGGTACTTGAAGCTTTAGATTTCTTTCCCGACGAAGATGCGTTGCTGCTGCTTCCTGAGTAACTGGAACTGGAGGCGCTTGAATCTTTTCCTGATGAAGATGCATCACTGCTACTTCCTGAGTAACTGGAGCTTGAAGCGTTAGATTTCTTTCCTGAAGAAGATGCATGACTACTGCTTCCGGAGTAACTGGAACTTGAAGCTTTAGATTTCTTTCCCGAAGAAGATGCGTTGCTGCTGCTTCCTGAGTAACTGGAACTGGAGGCGCTTGAATCTTTTCCTGATGAAGATGCATCACTGCTACTTCCTGAGTAACTGGAGCTTGAAGCGTTAGATTTCTTTCCTGAAGAAGATGCATGACTACTGCTTCCGGAGTAACTGGAACTTGAAGCTTTAGATTTCTTTCCCGAAGAAGATGCGTTGCTGCTGCTTCCCGAGTAACTGGAACTGGAGGCGCTTGAATCTTTTCCTGATGAAGATGCATCACTGCTACTTCCTGAGTAACTGGAGCTTGAAGCGTTAGATTTCTTTCCTGAAGAAGATGCATTGCTGCTGCTTCCGGAGTAACTGGAACTCGAAGCGTTAGATTTCTTTCCTGAAGAAGATGCATTACTGCTGCTTCCTGAATAACTAGAGCTGGAGGCACTTGAATCTTTTCCTGAAGATGATGCATCACTGCTACTTCCTGAGTAACTGGAGCTTGAAGCGTTAGATTTCTTTCCTGAAGAAGATGCATGACTACTGCTTCCGGAGTAACTGGAACTTGAAGCTTTAGATTTCTTTCCCGAAGAAGATGCGTTGCTGCTGCTTCCTGAGTAACTGGAACTGGAGGCGCTTGAATCTTTTCCTGATGAAGATGCATCACTGCTACTTCCTGAGTAACTGGAGCTTGAAGCATTAGATTTCTTTCCTGAAGAAGATGCATTGCTGCTGCTTCCGGAGTAACTGGAACTTGAAGCGTTAGATTTCTTTCCTGAAGAAGATGCATTACTGCTGCTTCCTGAATAACTAGAACTGGAGGCACTTGAATCTTTTCCTGAAGATGATGCATCACTGCTACTTCCTGAGTAACTGGAACTTGAAGCGTTAGATTTCTTTCCTGAAGAAGATGCATTACTGCTGCTTCCTGAATAACTAGAGCTGGAGGCACTTGAATCTTTTCCTGAAGATGATGCATCACTGCTACTTCCTGAGTAACTGGAACTTGAAGCGTTAGATTTCTTTCCTGAAGAAGATGCATTGCTGCTGCTTCCGGAGTAACTAGAACTGGAGGCGCTTGAATCTTTTCCTGAAGAAGATGCATCACTGCTACTTCCTGAGTAACTGGAACTTGAAGCGTTAGAATCATTTCCAGAAGAGGATTGACTACTGCTTGCAGAGTAACTGGAACTCGAAGATTCGCTTTTCGATTTCTTGTTTCCAGAAGAGTAGGAGCTGCTGTCTGATCTACTGTTTGATGATGACTCCGATTCTGATCTTCTGATTTCCTTTCCGTTACAATTCTCTTCACTGTTGCTAGATGAGTAAGAACTGCTGCTACTCTGGGAATCGCTGTGACTCCATGACCCAGGTTCTGAAAGAGAATTAAGCTATTTTTTAAACCAAAGTAAGATACGCATGCACCAAGTCTGGTAAGTTGGCACCAAACAGCATGTTTTGTAAGATGTGCTTCGATTCGAACAGTTATATACATGGTATTTCTTGACTAAATGTTCAGTAATACGCGACATATATATGATGGTTTTTTTTTGTGACGGAATCATATAACAGACCGTATTATGACTAGTTTAAATCTCATTTTAAACTAGCCATAATACAGTCCTTAGGTGAGTTAGGTAGGTTATAAACGTTCCTAGGTGAGTTTAAATTTAGAAGCTAGAAGTGCAAAAACAAAAAGGCAAGGAATATGTCATTAGAAAACAATCGATATATAGAAACAGAACGTTAAAATATAAAATTCAAATATATATATATAAAAAAAAACTATCAAAAAGGTTGTTGCAACAGTATCTCTGTTATTAGTAAATACTTACTAGGTCTCGGCCTGATCAAGCCAGCCTGAACGGCAGCCAAACTCTGTAACAATTAACGAAAGTTTAAAAACCTTTACAAACTACAAGAAATTACAGGGGGAGAAATTACATTATTATAGGGGGATGAAAAATAGATGTTGGCCGATTCTCAGACCTACTCAATACGCCACAAAATTTCATGAGAATCGGTCTAGCCGTTTCGGAGGAGTATGGGAACGAAAACTGTGACACGAGAATTTTATGTGTAAGATAATGCAAAAATGCAATAGCATATACTGATGCTCCCTATATTCTCCCTAATTGACCACTTAAGGGATAAGACGACCTTTCGTACCTATATACTAAAAATATACTGTTTTCTTTTGTATTTTTTTAAAGTGCAATATACATATATAAATAAACTAGCTCTCCCAAACGTTCTTTTGCCTTAAAATAAAAAAAAAAATAGGGTTGGACTACCCCTAACATTTAGGGGGATGAAAAATAGATGTTGGCCGATTCTCTTCTAAATATCTTTATTCATGTAGGTCTATTACAGATTCTTATGATATGTCAAATCTACCGTCAGTTCAGAATGATTTCAAGATGAGAACTGACAAGAAACTCAGCTCGTATTCTTCTCAAATATAGTTGTACATGTTTAGAATAATTATGAAGATATTAACTTACCACGATAAGTAGAAGAATTAACTTCATGTCTCTAATCTTCCAGTACAAAGTACTTTATTGAAGAAAGTTTCCCAAGTGTGTACCAAACAGTTGCATCCATTGGTTTTTATACAAAACCGAACAATAATTCAACGTCTCGTTAATTGTTCAAACATATTTGTTTATATAAACACACGTATGTCCTTTATGAAATATGAAATTAGTTATTATTTTTTATAAACAATAGGATATGACTTTATTTTTTCCTTTCGTTTTGTTTTGCGTGTGTGTTTTTTTTTGTAATAACAAGTACAGTTGCGGTTATTTTTATTTCGGTATTGAAATGGTTTTTTTGTCGATTATATCAGATTCCGTGTGCTAGAGAAAGTGGAGGCAGGTGTGGGATGAGCGACAACACACATTTGTTTATTTTAAATCTAATATATGAATTCTCCGAAACGGTTTTACCGATTTTTGCATGAGGTCAGGTCAGTTGTACTAACTGATCATGACAAATTCATCAGGAATTTATCACATTGTTTTCCAGGGAGAATATCATGATGATCAATCTGTGTGACGAACTTATCATTCCAGGTGTTTTTTAAGTATGATAATGTAATGGTGCACCCGTCTGCGCTAACGGTTTACGCTGGTGCCCTAGTGGAGGATGATAAGATGAACATAAGGTCAGGTCAGTTAGCCCATCGTGACAAATTCACCAGGAATTTATCACGATGGTTTCCAGGGGGAACCGCGAGGAGGTCAACATGACATGGTGCATTTGCCAGCAATGAGGTCAACAGTCCACATTACTAACAGTCCTCTTACCCCTCATTTCATGTATTCACGGTGCGGGTTCAGGTTCAATCGTGTGTCAGAGAAGGAAACTTCGAGCAGTTCCCGGGAATTGTAACCCCACCTGGGTTACAAGTCCCAGGAACTGCTCGAAGGTTCGAAGGTTTAAGTAGAGGTTTAAGTGGAGTAATTGGTAAACATTACTTACAATCTCCTTCTCTTTAGACAATGGTTACCAATTACCATCAGATGGGCCGTCAATCTCTTTGTCATTTTAGTATAGAGGTGTTTGTTTGTCATCTAGTTTGAGTGTACTAAACTACTTTTCTGACTATAGCCGACATTTACCACTTACCATCATGTAGCCCGTATGTTCATTTGTCATTTAGATCTAGAAGTGTTTGTTATTTACCACTTACCATCAGGTAGCCCGTATGTTCATTTGTCATTTAGATCTAGAAGTGTTTGTTATTTACCACTTACCATCTGGTAGTCCGTATGTTCATTTGTCATTTAGATCTAGAAGTGTTTGTTATTTACCACTTACCATCAGGTAGCCCGTATGTTCATTTGTCATTTAGACGTAAGAGTGTTTAGGAGTGTTTGTTTGTTAGTTTGACTGTACCAATCTCCTATTTTTTATATTACAAACACAATAAATTACATTAATTAAGTGTTAAGAAGTTGACCTTTACTTTTTAATAAGGTTGTCTCATTTTTTTTATATATATTATTGTTTTTTTTGTCAACAAAACAGCTAACAGCTGTGTTTACAGTTTATAGAAAAGCAGCGTTAAATTATAGTCGAAGATCGGGTACTGTGCTTCTCAAATATAGTATACTAGCTGTGCCCGCGATTTAGTCCAGATAGAGTAGATTTAATAGTAAATCTATACTTATAATAAATTTTCCGGACTACTCTAATGCTTTTAGCCGCAGCTGGCCTTTACAGCTTCACCGGACGTTAGGGGGCGAGTGCAGATGGCACTCCAAACCCGCGGAAGGACTTATGGAGCGGCTGAAGGCCAACTCCTGCCTGACGGATAGGACTTTAGTCTGAGGGCACCACTAGGGGTTCGAACCTCGGCTCAGGCCGTCGTAACTTCGATCCCCGTCTGAATTGGACGGGGGATCGATCGGACACCGGGTTTCGCAGCCTTTTATAGACGCGCCGCACGACGGTGGCGCCACCAGAGGAAGTTACACCTGTATATTATGACTCGCCATATATGTAATGAAGTTTTTTGCATTCAAATTCAAATTCAAAATATCTTTATTCATGTAGGACTATTACAGACTCTTATGATATGTTTTTTTTTTTTTTTATACCACTTAGGTGGCAAACAAGCATACGGCCCATCTGATGGTAAACGGCTACCGTAGCCTATGGACGCCTGAAACACCAGGGGTGTCACATGCGCGTTGCCGACCCTTAAGAAACCTTAATATACCCTTCTTGAAAACCCCCATGCTGTAGTCTCTCGAGAAAACCTCGGCAGGTAGTTCATTCCACAATCTAAGTGTACGCGGGAGGAAGCTCCTCTGAAACCGCACTGTACGAGACCACTTAGGTTCCAGCGTGTGGGGATGAATTCCCTGTCGATGGCGAGCGGTGCGATGGTAAAAGGTAGGTAGGTAAAAGGTAATGTCAAATCTACCGTCAGTTCGAGATGAGAGAACTGACAAGAAACTCGTATTCTTTTCAAATATTGTTTACAATAATGGAGATTCATTTTAAATAATAAAAACTATATAAATTAATCAGTATATTCACAGCAAATAGACATACAGACTGAAACTCTCTCATATTCATAATATTAGTATGGAATAGATTTAAAATATAATTTGAGTACCACTGTACCATTGTAGAGTTCAACGTAGGTGCATAGAATAATTGTTGTACATGTTTTTTATTGCTCTGTATATACTATTATCAGGCATTAATGTTTTTTACACAGACTTTATAACAGTGTTTCCTTAGTTTAATAAAAAAAAGTTTCTATTCCTTTTTCAAAAAATGCTACACCTGCAATTTTTAAGAATATTAAAAAAATAAGAACTACAAACTTATTAAAAGAGCTTTTAGTGTTTGTTTCATTGAAATTATAAAAAAACCAGGATGTATTCCATTTTCAAATGAAGCTACAACCGCAATTTTTAATAATGATAAAAAATACAAACATATTAAAGGAGTTTTTAGTGTTTGACTCATTGAAGTTAAAAAAACGTTGCTATTCCATTTTCAAATAATGCTACACCCGCCATTTATAGAAATAAATTTATTAAAAGAGTCTTTAGTGTTTCTCTCATTGATATTATAAAAAAACAAGAAGTATTTCTTTTTCAAATACAGTTCCATCTGGAAGTTTCTAAATAAAAAAAAAACAGACTAAAAAAGAGGTTTTAACAGTGTTTATATAATTTAATTAAAAATAAATAACTGGATTTATTCCTTTTTCAAATAATTTTCAACAACGGTCCTATCGATATGGAAAAATAAAAAAAAAGAGAAGTCTGTTTATACTGTCTTTTACATAGAAAGTAAAATAGTGTATCTCGTTGTCATTTAGAAAGAATAAAATAGAATGTTATTTCTGAAAAGATTAAAAGTAAAAAACAATGGATTTTTCATACAGTTCTTAAAAGTGTTTCAAACTATAATAATACATTTAGCATAGCATAATACAGAGTAAAAGTATAGAAGAATTTAAAAGATAATATCGCGCTATGATTTGAAAGGGCCTCTATTCAGCTGGCGCCGCAGTGTGTCACTATAGCGCTAACATCATGTGCTTTTTCTTGTACCATTCATTTGGGGTCGGAGTTGATTTTCAAGTCAAATTAATTAAAAAAACAGTGTATAAATTGATTCTGTGCTACCAGGCATCCATAAATTCACAAGAATTCGAACATGCGATGCATGCGAAAAAAGAAAACAACAGTGTTATTTGTTGAATAATTTTGAGCAAAATTGGATCAGTGCTACCAGGAATCCATAAATTCACAACATATCGATAAACAAATTACAATCTAACATATTGCAATTACCAGGATAGCATAAACTAATGAAGGTCGTACATATACTCGATACGTCAATGGGAGTGACGTTATGACAAGGTACAGCAGTTTTTGTCCTTTTTACTAATTACCTCTCTTTCTATTTCTTTTCAGGCGTAACAGAGAAAGCCGTGTACCATGTACCAGGTTTACAGAAATTGAGAGGTAAGGAATTCGTTGAACTAGTAAGTAATACACATATAACTTACATACAACTTTGTTATATGTTTATTTGTATAATTTTTTTGTACAATTATTTGTATCATGTACAATTATTTGTATCATATAGTTGTTATAACAGTATTAATTTGTACCAGGCCTGCATAAACTACTTGAGGTAAATGTATAGGTATACACGATTACAACTTTGTTATTTCTATCATAACTGTTATAAATAATTGTTATATAATTGTTATGACAGTATTAATTTGTACCAGGCCTGCATAAACTACTTGAAGTTACACCAGAAATTTGTCATTATACCAAGTGTATGGTTTCTAGAATAGAATAGAATAGAAAATCATTTATTCAAATAAACTTAATTTAAGCACTTTTGAATAGTCATAACAATTTGTTTTTTATCTACCACTCGTTCGGAAAGCTGTCTCATCACAAGAAGAACGAGCAAGAAACTTGTGTGTTGCTCTTTTAAATAATCCTTCTATGACAAAATTATGGCTCAGAGACATACGAGAAAGTATCATATTCACTACAATTTAAAATTGAAATTGCTTTAACATAATCAAATTATAGGATAAGTTTATATAATGGAAAATAACTTTCTGTTAAATACATACTTACCCATTTTTTTTATTTATTCTAATATCAATCGAATCACCTACGTAAACCGCCTTACTTTCGATGGTCACAGGTTTGATTCCGCGCATGGTGCAAACATTTTTATTCTTAAGTATAATTGTTTTATTGATCTGGGTAATTTCTATGTATATTCTCTTTATGGATTTAAAATAATAATATAATCTCAGGACAATTCACACAGCGCCATCTAGACCCAAGTTCAGCTAGCTAAAGCTTGTGTTCTGTTCACTAGATAATTGATACAAATACATACATATTTATTTCCTAAATACATATACTATTATATATAGAAAACACATATATCGATACAAACAATCATATTTATGAATACAAATGTTTGTGTGTTACGAGGAATCGAACCCGCAACCATCGGTTGCGACGCTAAACCACTGTTTAAATTGCATTTAATTTGTACGAGTTGTCTAGTACCCAGAATACAATTTCTCAGAACTCATCGTATCACGATATTGAATATATATAAGTTTTGTTTGTTAACGTGTCTCTGAAAGGCGTCAAAGGCTCAGTGGTAGAATGCTCGCCTGCCACGCCGGCAGCCCAGGTTCAGTTCATGGCCGATGCGAGTCTTAAATTAAAAACTGTTACGAATTTATTTATTTATAATAAATTTTTAATGCATAAATAAAGGTGTACAGTGCAGACTTGACACTTATGGTCTGTTTTTTAACCCGGAGACTAAATTGACAGGTGCAAATGTCAAATTTTTAAATAAAGTTACCACCTATAGCGTAGTAGTGGTGTACCTGCGATACCGATTTGTTTAATCGGAAACTTTTATTTTAACATATTACTCTTAAAGCTTTAAATGAAGTTTCTACAACAGATTTTTTTTACAACACGTAAATAATTTGAATAGTTTACTGTTCTATGGTATACTAGCTACCAGCTATCACACTGGTCTTCGCGTATAAACCTTCCTCTAGAATCACTCTATCTATTAAAAAATCCGCTTCAAAATCTGTTGCGTAGTTTTAAAGATTTAAGCATGCATAGGGACGGACCGACAGCGACAGCGACTTTGTTTTATACTATGTAATGATGGTGACACTATACAAAGGTCATTTGTTTTAGATAGTGCCACAACCCTGTTGAAAATCTGGCAACAGAAAACTCTGGGATTAAAAAACATACTATAGAGGCATTTTCCCCCAGGGCACCTTAGGGCAAACAGAGAATGTTCCATATTCAGAACTTACTTAGTCTAAGTTGTATCACTGGCTTGTTTACTGGAGCAAAAGGTGCTTGGTAATACTGGCCACAAATAAAAACATTCATTCATTCAGCCCGGAAGGCGTCCACTGCTGAACAAAGGCCTCCTCCAAAGATCTCCACGACGATCGGTCCTGCGCTGCTCGCATCCAATGCCTTCCAGCGATCTTGACCAGATCGTCGGTACACCTTGTCGGAGGCCTTCCCACGCTGCGTCTTCCGGTCCGTGGTCGCCACTCGAGGACTTTAATGCCCCAACGGCCATCTGTCCTACGAGCTATGTGCCCTGCCCATTGCCACTTCAGTTTCCCAATTCTTCGGGCTATGTCGGTCACTCTGGTTCTTCTGCGGATCACCTCATTTATGACTCGATCACGCACAATGAATATATGTGGCCACTTAAATTTAAAATATGGAAAAAAAGTGAACTGTAAATAAAAACTAGACGAAAAGGGCGCCTAACTATTTTAAAACAAGTTAATTATTGATTTAATTAATATAATATAATTTGTTTTTTCACACAGTGCCATCTAATTATTGATTTAATTAATATAATATAATTATTTTTATTAAAATATAGACTCTTAGAGTGCGTGGTAACTAAACTGTATTGCATATCGGGACGTTCCTGAGCAAAGGTGAGTAAGTTTGGTGTTACTTTGCTTACTTTGGGGTGTTCAGAGTGTGGATGACGTTCATCCCAACTAACTTAACTAACTTAAACTTAACTGTGCAGATTTTTAAAAATTAATTTAAAAAAAATACTCCTCCTCACTCAGAAAACTGTGCCGTGATGTGTCTGCACTCTGGCACCCCGTATACATATGCTGAACGGAGACCTATTTGGTACTATAATTATTAATATAAAAATGTAAATTAAAATTTAAAAATTATTTTCAGTGTACCAAATAAACAATTTTCTCTCTTTTCTTTATCCCGGGCGAAAGCGTATTTCTCCTGTCTTTTCCATTAATTATTTTCTTTTAAAAAATACAGTCTACTCTCTATTATGTATTCCTCACATATACTTATATAATATATAATCTTATATATAAAATTCTCGTGTCACAATGTTAGCTACCATACTCCTCCGAAATGGTTTGACAGATTTTATGAAATTTAATATGCATATTCAGAAAGTCTGGAGTATCGGCTACTATTTTTCATACCCCTAAGTGATAAGGATTGTCCACCCCTAACGTTCATTTTAATTTTTTGGACAATTTATTATAATATGGTATTAAAAAATACATACTAAACATACACCTAAACTTTCACCCTTCTTCTGGGATCAGCTAGTACTTACATAAATTAATAAATCATTATTATAAATATATATTTACAAGGGGGAAAGAGATTATTATTAATGTCTAATAACCCCATTCTTAGAAATGTACCATGTCAGGTTGACCTCCACGCGGTTCCCCCTAGAAACCATCGTGATAAATTCCTAGTGAATTTGGTACGATGTGCTAACTGACCTGACCTCATACTTATCTTATCCTCCACTAGTGCCCCGCCAGCGTATACCGTTAGCGCAGGCGGGCGATCCATTCCAATATCATTAATTAAAAATATAAAAGGCAACTGATTAGGTAGAGAAAAAGAAAAAAATAACTTAATGCTCTCAATTTTTATTAAAATGCCAAATATAAATGCCAAAACATTAACTTATAACAAGAAACATGTAAAAACCCCAGTAATATTACTTACAGACGAATATTTAAACTCTAATAATGTACATTCAAAGTTACTTCTTACAAAACATAATTGTAATTACAATATGATATGAACAGAATAAGAATAGAGTTCCTTAACAGTTCTTTTTAGCTTTAACAACAATCCAAACTGATGTTAGAATTAACATACCATATTTACCTGTAATAGATTTACATGAAGAATATTTTGACTTTGATTCAAATATTCCGATTTTTATTCAGATCCTTTTAAATTATTTACAAATCAATTGCGTAAGTTTTGAAATTAAATTAATTGGACAAAATTTCCAGAATTCACGAAAACTAAAAATATGTTAGTTATGCAATAACATGCCTTTTAAAGAAAACAAACTATATCTGATTTTACAATAAACTGGGCTAGATACATTAAGAAAACAAAAATTAACAGAATCAATTTTGAATTTACAATTAAAAATATACCAAAATAATTATAACGTGGCAAATTTTCGAGGCAAGGCAACACTGAATGATCTGGATAGAAAAAATCACATCCAACCTAATGTAACTAGGAATAAATTAATAATGAAACTACGCCATTCCCATAAATTTGCCAACGGTGCATTGCTGAATCAAAAAAGACAAGCATTATATTGTCTAAACTGAACTACATTATGAAACAAATAACAGAAAGATCTAACTTTTCCTATAAAGATCTTCTATTATATATAACTATATAAATCTATATAACTACTCTTGTTTCATTTGGGTTCAGTCAGATTTGAGTGGTTTTCGTTAGTTAATTAATTAACAGACTTCCTTCTCGGTACTACTAGATCGAGAACTTGAACTAGATTGTGAACTTGAGCTCGATCTGGAACTTGAACTAGACCGTTCCACACCAGAAGCGGTGCTTACAGATTTAGAGCTACTAGCAGATTGACTACTGCTTGCAGATTTGCTTGCGCTGGACGACTTGGTAATACTGCCATTTTTGCTAACAGTAGAACTTTGACTTGCACTAGCAGATTTGCTAGCACTAGAAGACCTGCTAGCACTAGAAGATTTACTGCCACTAGCAGATTCGCTACTACTTGCAGAATTAGATTCACTAGAAGACTGGCTAGCACTTGAAGACCTGCTGGCACTAGATGTTCTACTGGCACTAGAAGACTTACTGGCACTGGAGGACTTACTGGCACTAGAAGATTGGCTGGCACTAGAAGATTTGCTGGCACTAGAAGACTTGCTAGCACTAGATGACTTGCTGGCACTAGACGACCTACTGGCACTAGAGGATCTACTAGATGATTCGCTTGACGAGTCAGATTCGCTATCAGATGAGGAATTGCTACTGCTTGCAGCATTGCTAGAACTGGACGAGTCACTACTGCTTCCTGAATTGCTGTTACTAGATGAATTAGCGTTACTATTTGCGGACGAGTTTGCACTACTATTCGCAGAGGAGTTGCTATTGCTGTTTGCACTACTGTTACTGGATGAGTTCGCATTACTGTTGGCGGACGAGTTACTGCTGCTATCGGCACTGCTGTTACTGGATGAGTTAGCATTACTACTCGAGGATGAGTTTGCATTACTGTTGGCGGAAGAGTTTGCGTTACTGTTGGCGGAAGAGTTTGCATTACTGTTGGCGGATGAGTTTGCGTTACTGTTGGCGGAAGAGTTTGCATTACTGTTGGCGGAAGAGTTTGCATTACTGTTGGCGGAAGAGTTTGCATTACTGTTGGCGGAAGAGTTTGCATTACTGTTGGCGGATGAGTTTGCATTACTGTTGGCGGATGAGTTTGCATTACTGTTGGCGGAAGAGTTTGCATTACTGTTGGCGGATGAGTTTGCGTTACTGTTGGCGGAAGAGTTTGCATTACTGTTGGCGGATGAGTTTGCATTACTGTTGGCGGATGAGTTTGCATTACTGTTGGCGGATGAGTTTGCATTACTGTTGGCGGATGAGTTTGCATTACTGTTGGCGGAAGAGTTTGCATTACTGTTGGCGGAAGAGTTTGCATTACTGTTGGCGGATGAGTTTGCGTTACTGTTGGCGGAAGAGTTTGCATTACTGTTGGCGGATGAGTTTGCGTTACTGTTGGCGGAAGAGTTTGCATTACTGTTGGCGGATGAGTTTGCGTTACTGTTGGCGGAAGAGTTTGCATTACTGTTGGCGGATGAGTTTGCGTTACTGTTGGCGGAAGAGTTTGCATTACTGTTGGCGGAAGAGTTTGCATTACTGTTGGCGGAAGAGTTTGCATTACTGTTGGCAGAAGAGTTTGCATTACTGTTGGCGGAAGAGTTTGCATTACTGTTGGCGGATGAGTTTGCATTACTGTTGGCGGAGGAATTACTACTGCTGTCAGCACTGCTGTTACTGGATGAATTAGCATTACTACTCGAGGAAGAATTTGCATTACTGTTTGCGGATGAGTTTGCAGATGAGTTTGCGTTACTGTCAGCGGAAGAGTTACTGCTGCTGTCTGCGCTGCTGTTACTGGATGAGTTAGCATTACTACTCGAGGAAGAATTTGCATTACTGTTTGCGGATGAGTTTGCAGATGAGTTTGCGTTACTGTCAGCGGAAGAGTTACTGCTGCTGTCTGCGCTGCTGTTACTGGATGAGTTAGCATTACTACTCGAGGATGAGTTTGCATTACTATTAGCGGAGGAGTTGCTGCTGCTGTCTGCACTGCTATCACTGGATGAGTTAGCATTGCTACTAGAGGATGAGTTCGCATTACTGTTGGCGGAGGAATTACTACTGCTGTCGGCGCTGCTGTTACTGGACGAGTTAGCGTTACTACTCGAGGATGAGTTTGCATTACTATTAGCGGAGGAGTTGCTGCTAGTGTCTGCACTGCTATCACTAGATGAGTTAGCATTACTACTCGAGGATGAGTTCGCATTACTGTTGGCGGAGGAATTACTACTGCTGTCGGCACTGCTGTTACTGGACGAGTTAGCGTTACTACTCGAGGATGAGTTTGCATTACTATTAGCGGAGGAGTTGCTGCTACTGTCTGCACTGCCGTTACTGGATGAGTTAGCATTGCTACTCGAGGATGAGTTCGCATTACTGTTTGCAGACGAATTGCTGCTGCTGTCTGCACTGCTGTTACTGGATGAGTTAGCATTGCTACTCGAGGATGAGTTCGCATTACTATTAGCGGAGGAGTTGCTGCTGCTGTCTGCACTGCTGTCACTGGATGAGTTAGCATTGCTACTTGAGGATGAGTTTGCGTTGCTGTCTGCGCTGCTATTACTCGATGAGTTAGCATTACTACTTGAAGATGAGTTTGCGTTGCTGTTTGCAGATGAGTTGCTGCTACTGTCTGCGCTGCTGTTACTGGATGAGTTAGCATTACTACTCGAGGATGAGTTCGCATTACTATTAGCGGAGGAGTTGCTGCTGCTGTCTGCACTGCTGTCACTGGATGAGTTAGCATTGCTACTTGAGGATGAGTTTGCGTTGCTGTCTGCGCTGCTATTACTCGATGAATTAGCATTACTACTTGAAGATGAGTTTGCGTTGCTGTTTGCAGATGAGTTGCTGCTACTGTCTGCGCTGCTATTACTGGATGAGTTAGCATTACTACTCGAGGATGAATTGGCATTACTGTTGGCGGAGGAGTTGCTGCTGCTGTCTGCACTGCTGTTACTGGATGAGTTAGCATTACTACTCGAGGATGAATTGGCATTACTGTTGGCGGAGGAGTTGCTGCTGCTGTCTGCACTGCTGTTACTGGATGAGTTAGCATTACTACTCGAGAATGAATTGGCATTACTGTTGGCGGAGGAGTTGCTGCTACTGTCTGCACTGCTGTTACTGGATGAGTTAGCATTACTACTCGATGATGAGTTACTACTTCCTGTTTCGTTGCCACATGAATCAGTATCTACGATTTCACTCGCAGACGAGTAGGAGCTACTGCTGCTTTTTGCTGCGCTGTTAGACGAGGACTTGGAAATGCTGCCATCCTTCACAATGCTGCTCGATTTACTGCTGCTGGCTGAGTAGGAACTGCTTTTGCTTGCAGAACTACTTTTTACGATTACAGCAGGCTCTGAAAATTATTAAATAGAATTTATATGTTACTTTATTGAGATTGTCTTGATACAAAGTTACCTGACTTTCAATATCACCTATTTCAGTCTCCTTACCAGTTTGCTACGTCACTTCTTAAGTGTTTCGATTGAAGAGTAAGGATGAAATAGAAATTCTATATTATTTTTAATTATATTTGACGACCTCGGTGGTCTAGCGGTCTAGCACACCGCTTTACGTCCGATGGTCGCGGGTTCGATTCCTCGCACGGCACAAACATTTGTATTCATGAGTATAATTGTTTGTATCGGTCTGGGTGTTTTCTCTTGTATAATATGTATGTATTTACGAAAAAAAAAATTATTTATGTATCTGTATCAGTTATTTAGTACCCATAACACAAGCTTTAGCTAGCTTAACTTGGGACTAGATGGCGCTGTGTGAATTGTCCTGAGATTATTATTATTATTATTATATTTTAATTTTATTTATTTAAAAGAACAACACACAAGTCCCTCGCTTATTCTTCTTGTGATGAACCTGCATTCCGAATAAGCGGTAGAATAAAGAAACTTGACTATTCAAAAGTGCTTATATTAAGTTTATTTAAATAAAGATTATTTCTATTTCTAAATTGAGTTTCTAGTCAGTTCTTCTCAATTGAATCTGTATACTAAAATGACATACAAAAAAATTTACGTTCAGAAGCGGCTAAAATGTCCTACATAAATAATTTTTGAATTTGAATTTTGTTAAGTCCAAATTTTAATTCCTAATCTCATGGGTGTAATTCATGGTAAGATATCACTAGGTTATGACGATAACAAACAAATATAATACATAAAGCATACTTACTTGGAGCTGCTTCGACGGCGACTAGTGCCTGTAACAATAAAACAATCAGATTTTATATAATAACTAACGGCAAACTTTGTTATGTTATATAAATTAATAACGCTATAAAAAAATAGGTGTTCGTTCGCTATTAAAAAAAGCTGAAAATTTTGTGTTGTATATATTTTTAATGCCATATATGTACAAAATAAAAAAAATATATCGAAACAATTAAATAAACTATTTTGGGATGAGCCACCCTTCATACTTAGGGGTATAAAAATTTGTTATTAAAAAATAGGGGTTGGTAAATTATATTTTCTTATTTTCTTATTATTTTATGTGTACACAATAAAGAGTTTTATTATTATTATATATATATATTTATTATATCTCCCTTTTTACGGGGGTAATATATTCAAACACGCGGGCCTTAGCCAAGCATGGATGAGTTATGTGATGAAGATAGAAATTTTCTGACTATTCGGCATGTGTTTAGTATGACGGCTTTTTGTAGTAGTTCTATTGTAGATTCTATTATTATTACTATTTTTATCCAAAAATTCTCATCTCCCCTCTTAAGGAGAGGAGATGGCAAGTATTATTATTATTATTTTTATTTTTATATATATATTATATATCTCCCACTGATGGGGTAATAGACTGATCATTGCGGGTAAAAATCACCAAACAATGACAGTATAAATTATGAATGATGAGGATGGATAATTTTTAAGTGGAAGACAAAAATTATTAATATAAATACTTAGATATATATTTTTTGTAATTATATGAATAAATTTGATATTCTTACCACAACAAGCAATAGAAAGAATTTCATAATGTTGCTTTTCTGCACGTGTGCTCGTCCAGCGAATGCAATGCTGTCATATTCCCAACTCGAGCATTTTATATACATCCAGTGTAAATATTCGATATTATATAAAAACAAACAAAAACGCCCTGTGTAACATTTAATTTCTATAAATATATATTGGTTATTCAATTTTTACATGTTATTGTTATTTTAACAATATTTTTCGTTCTTTCATATTATTATTAGTGAATAAATTAATATATTTTCTTTAATGACAGGTACAGTCAGCTGAGGTTTTTTTTTGGATTACTCTAATGCTGTTCGTTTTACAGCTTCACTTGATGATACCTCTATCATCTGCACTGCACTGTGTGCAACAATGACACTGAGATGCTACCTTTTTGTGTCACTGTGGTATACACATATCTTTCGGACTATTTTAATGCTGTTGGCAGCAGCTGGCCTTTACTGCTTTCTTGATATATGATAGCGTAGCGGCTTTTGTATTGATTGCCGCATGCATCCTCATGTAAAGTGCGAATACTGTAACTACCATATAGTAATTTTTGTAGCTGTGACGTGGTCGTGTGGAATGAGTCATGCTCACTAAAATGTCCAGACATTTGGCGCGTGGTGGGCTTCAATGGGCTCCCTGAAATATGGTCGAGCGCAGTGATGGCTGGAACTCATCCGTCATACTCGTGAACGAGTGCTGTTTGTATCCCTGTTTTATCATAGGACTGATTTAATCTTATTGATATTTATATTTGACAAAAAATCCTTGTTGGTAGTTTGTATTCACACGTGACCTTGTAAAGTCACAAGGATTATTTAAAAGAGCAACACACAAGTTTCTTGCTCGTTCTTCTTGTGATGAGACAAACGAGTGGTCATAAAAAACAAATTGTTATGACTATTCAAAAGTAAAATTGACAAATGATTTCATTCTATTCTATTTTTACAGCTTCACAGGACCGTAGAGGACGAGTGCAGATGGCAGTCCAAATCTAAAGGACTTATGGAGCGGCTGAAGACTAACTCCTGCTTGACGGATATGACTTGTATGACAAATTTCAGCCCGAACTCCGTCCAGTGTCGTTTGCGATATGTGTTGATAGGGGACTTGGAATGTTATCAAAATCCTTTCTTAGTTATATATATATATATAGAGTCTCAGATATATTAATACAAAGTAATAATAATAATAATAATATATTTTAACGGATGCCTTCATACAATGATTATTTGTCGAGGGTCTATTTTATTTATAAAACAATTATTCACCGACCCTCTACTATATATATATATATAGATAGATATATTAATACAATGATTATTTGTTGACTATTCCATCAATTCAAATATTTTGCACACCGTTTTACCTAATTATCGTCGGTTTGATTCCTCGTACGTGCAAACATTTGTATTCATGACTATGATTGTTTGTATCGGTCTGGGTGTGTTCTATGTATATTATGTATGTATTTCCAAAATAAAAGTATATTAGTTGTCTAGTACCCATAACAGAATTTCTGCTTACCGTAGATCTAGATGGCGCTGTGTTACTTGTCCATTAATTATTCTTGTTTATTAATTATTTATATTACTGTAAAGCTTTATTAAAATTGGTTCAGTAGTTATTGTTTGAAAGAATAACACATATCCATCCATACTCACAAACTTTCGCAAGTATAATTTGAATAAGGTATTGGTTGGACTTTTTACGCAGTTAACTGTATTTTCTTGGATGCACTTGTATATATATTATTGTTACTTACTTTGTTGATTTATTAAGTTATATTGTAAATGACATGCAATATTAATTGTATAGTATTTTGTTTGTATATTATGTATATATACTTATATATATAGGTAATATAATGTTTTTGAATTATTTTCACTCTTTCTCGACAACTACATACATGTTGTATTGTAGAAATATATATTTTTACTTATTTTTTTACAATAAACCTATAAATTTAGTTGACGATACTGTATTTCTAAGTATAACATTAGATTCCAAGTTGCAATGGGGTATATTACTATGATCGAGTCGACTTAGTTCTGCCGCTTATGCGGTAAGAAGAATTAGACAATTAACAGACGTGGCAACTCCTAAATTTGTCTAATTTAACTATTTCCATACCATTATGTTGTATGGTATTTTGTTATGGGGCAAAGCAGCTGATATGAATACAATATTTATTTTACAAAAGAAGTCCATTCGCTCCATTTAAGGTATGTGATCATTGTGATCATTACTTGATATAAAAGAATTACAAGTTTTTAAATCGTTTATTGTTCAGTAGTACAGAGAGCGCTCACAACAAATGCAGAAAAAAAGGCAACACTCGTACAGTGTTGCCAACCTTATCTCCATTTTAGGCGTGGACAGTATGGGTTCCAGGGAGTCTATACGAGAGTGCTTTAAAGAATCAAATATCTATATATATTCTACGCCCAAGGAGATAAAATAGGGGATGTAAGTTTGTATGAAACTTTGTCAATTTTAAACCGATCGGGCTGGGACTTTGCATTCATAAAGCTACTATGACATAAGCATCCCCTAAGAAAGGATTTTGATAAATTCCACCCCTAAGAGGATAAATTAACGCGAGCGAAGCCGCGGGCAAAAGCTAGTACATAGATATATTTTTTTTTTCGTAAATAAATACATATTATACATAGAAAACACCTAGACTGATACAAATAATCATACTCATGAATACAAATGTTTGTGAGATGCGAGGAATCGAACCCGCGACCGTCGAAAGTAAGCTGAACGCTAGACCACCGAAGCTAACATTATACGAATTAAAGATATGTTTTTTATAAGAGATAGCTACTTCTAGCAGTTCATTCTTCGGAGAAATTCTTGAAATGTGGTTTCGTTTATAAGATTAAGTCTTTTTGATGGTACTACATTTAGCTATCTTATATTTCTGTTATCTGCCAATTAAAAATGATTAAATTGTTTGTGATTGATTCTATAGTCTCTGGTTTAAAATGGGTATAAGGAATGCTGTTTTTTCGGACTAATCTAATGCTGTTGGCCGTTGGCCTACAGCTTCACCGGACGATAGGGGCCGAGTGCAGATGGTACTCCAAACCCACGGAAGGACTTATAGAGCGGCTGAAGGCCAACTCCCGCCTGACGGATACGACTTTAGTCTGAGGGCACCGCTAGGGGTTCGAACCTCGGCTCAGGCCGTCGTAATATCGATCCCCGTTTGAATTGGACGGGGGATCGATCGGAGGGGATATGTATATAAGGAATGCATGTATAAAAAAGATGAAAATGAAAAATCAATACAAAAACAAATAGTATATTTTATGAACGTAAATATTGTCAAATCAAATCAAATAAAAAAACATTTATTTTATGTAGGATATTTTAGCCGCTTATAAAAGTAAATTTTTTTTATTTATATTTTTTCCCTACCTATAAGAGGCGTGATATTCGTGAGTACTATCACGAGTATCACATGATAACGTGATGTTAATGTATATAGGCGACGGTTACCACTTAACATCAGGCGGGCCGTCAGCTTGTTTGTCATTCCAATAACGCACAAAGCTGTAACGTAGTTGGTAAACACAGATGTTCTGTGTTCGATATCGGTAAGAGAGAGGTAACTAGGTAAGTAACAGATAAACAGTGGTGTTTCTCCCATAACAATGCACTCCACTACACTGCACAACACTACACTGAGTTGCTACATTTTTCCATCACTGTGGTACATTTTTTTTCGGACTACTCTTATTGGTTAATATATAATATTTTGATTTGATTTGTTATGTATTTAATTGTTTTTTAATTTCCACTCTACTTCAATATTTATGTTTGTTAGGAGAATGTAAATATGGAATAGAAATGGAAATAGAAATAGAAATAATATTTATTCAAATAAACTTAATATAAGCACTTTTGAATAGTCAAGTTCTTTTATTCTACCGCTTATTCGGAATGCAGATTCATTACAAGAAGAATAAGCAAGAAACTCGTGTGTTGCTGTTGAATAAAATAATAATAATAATCTAAGGACAATTCACACAGCGCCATCTAGACCCAAGTTAAGCTAACTAAAGCTTGTATTATGGGCACTAGATAACCGATACAAATACATAGATATTTTTTTCGTAAATACATACATATAGAAAACACCCAGACCGATACAAACAATCATACTTATGAATACAAATGTTTGTACCGTGCGAGGAATCGAACCCGCGACCATCGGGCGCAAAGCGGTATGCTTAACCGCTAGACCACCGAGGTCGTCAAATATAATTTATAACTCTATATTCTTTAAAACTCGAATTTTGTATTAGATTTTTAAAGAAACTTAACCAAAATTCAAATTTCGCGTAAATATTATTAAGATAGTAAATCTTTAAGTAAATTAAGATGGCAACCCGAGTTGGGTCTTCAATGGCCACAATATTTGTTAACGTATTTAGTTATTATAATCTTATATATAAAATTCTCGTGTCACAGTTTTCGTTCCCATACTCCTCCGAAACGGCTTGACCGATTCTCATCAAATTTTATGAGCGTATTGAGTAGGTCTGAGAATCGGCCAACATCTATTTTTCATCCCCCTAAATGTTAGGGGTAGTCCACCCATATTTTTTTTTATTTTAAGGCAAAACAACCTTTGCCGGGACAGCTAGTATGTTTATAAAAACACCTACGATGTCATCCAGGAGACTGCGATTATATCGACTTGCATGGTACATTAATAGCAAGGGGCCGACAAGTCTTTACTAACCAATTCCCTTCATTCTATTCAGAAGCATTTTTATCAATGGATGACAATGGAATGGTGCACCCGCCTGCGCTAACAGTACGCTGGGAAGTGGTGTTAGTAATGACTAGTATCCTATTGCTAGCAATGTACCATATCAGGTCGACCACACGATTTCACCACCGTACCACCCGCCAGAAACTGAAATACCATCCTGATCATCTGGATGAATGGCGGTCTTCCACGGTACGGTTTTCTAGAAACTTTTTGCCTCGCACAACCACATTGTGGAATCATTCCAGCAATGGTATTTCCGAACCGATACGATATTGAAACCTTCAAGAAAAGTGTTTTTCCTTTTTAAAAGGCGACAGCGTATATTTTGAGCGCAGCTCGTTTGTCCCCTGTGTTATAAAAAAAAAGGTCGACCACACAATCCCCCTAGGGCTACCTGCCCTGACCTCATTCTCATCTTATCATCCTCTATTGTATAATTAACAACTGTATATGCTGGCGAGGCACCAGTGGAGGATGATAAGATGAAGACGAGGCAGGGCAGTTAGCACATCGTGACAAACACACAGGTTTTTATCACGATGGTTTCCTGGGGGAACTGCGTGGAAGTCTTCGCTGGCGAAGCGGGGCAGCAAGTTCCCAATACTAACAATCCTCTCTGCTCCCAGTCCTACAGGTATAAAGTACCAATATAATCTGTAATTCTATTCTAGTAAAGTCAAGACCTACTACTATTACGTCGGTTTCCGGTTTTGACATCGCGCAATTAACGAAAAAGTAACACGTGATATCTTATTACACCCCTCTACCCCCTTGTGATATTTCGTGAATTTTACCGAACCCGCGAGGGGTTCGGTAAATATCACGAATTTACTTGATTAATGGACGGCCCCTTACGACTGTAAACCGGGGTAGTACCCCCTCCCCCCTGTGATATTTCGTGATTTTTGCACGTCAAAAAAATCACGAGATCACGTGATTAATAGCCGCCCATTACGGCTGTAAAACCAGACGCGAATATACTCAGACGAATTATGTAGCCAAAATGCTTGTTAAATTCCTTACAACATGCTTATAAAGTCCCAAAAATTTGGCAAACAATTGCTTTGTCATCTTCCACGTCACTGAAAATTAAACTAAATTGTATGATAATGGACTTTTTTCATTAAAAAATAATGATCTAATTATTGAAATTAATAAAAAAACAATTTACAAGCTGTACAAATATCACGGTACGTTAATTTACCGACGTTTGCGACAGTAACCATATATTTGACGTCATGTGTGCTGAAATTGTGGGTCATAACAATTTTTAAACGCACTTATACACTGATCTGTTGATATTGTATACAATTAATCAACAGAACTGGCTTGTGTCAGTGATCGGCTTTATGGCCGTACCTCTCTTTGTTGATAATGGATGCCTTAACGTCGGAGATACCCCATCCGATCGATCCCTCGTCAAATTTAAATGGGGATCGAATTTATAACGGCCTGAGCCGAGGTTCGAACCGTTAGCGGTGCCCTCAGACTAAAGTTGTATCCGTCAGGCGGGTGTCCTTCAGCCACTCCATAAGTCCTTCCTTTGGTTTGGAGTGTCACGCACTCGCCCGTTTCGTCCGGTGAAGAATAGAAAATCATCATTTATTCAAATAAACTTAATTTAAGCACTTTTGAATAGTCAACATTTTTTTAAATCTACCGCTTATTCGGAAAGCTGTCTCATCACAAGAAGAATAAGCAAGAAACTTGTGTGTTGCTCTTTTAAACAATCCTTGTAAGTTCACATTTTACAAGTCGAAACGTGTGAATACAAACTACCAACCAGCACTAATTTATTTAGGCTCAAATATAAAAACACAATAAGATTAAATCAGTCGTAGTGATAAGAGCAGACCAGTCCGTACAAGCAGCACTCGTTCACGAGTATGACGGATAAGCCAACCATCACTGAGCTCGATATATTAGGGAGAAAGGGCCCACCACGCTGCCACATATCTGGACATTTTAGTTCACAGCTACAAAAATTACTATATGGTAGTTACAGACTGAGACGCTATCATATATAGAGAAGCTTGTACAAGAAGAGGCAGTGCATGCTATTTGCAGATGAGATTGAGCTTGTTAGTGAGGAGGGAGCTGGGATACAGAGTAGGTTGGTGATGAGACAGCAAGAGCTGCAAAGTGATGGCTTAAAGATTAGTAATTCCAAAATGGAATACATGTTTTGCGATTTTGGCGGTCTTTCGCGCTCTGTAGCATATCACTAAATGGAGCTCCTATACCGAATTTGCTCCGATTTAGATTCACTCCTCCAAAGCAAAGGCGAATTAGACCGAACCATAAAGCATAGAATTAAATTTGGATGTATGAAGTGGCGGCAAGTTGTGGCGACGAGGCCTGTTATCTTGTATGGATCAGAATGCTGGCCCATAAAGGCGACAAATCAAAGACGACTGCATGCAACTGAAATGCGAAGGTTGAGATGAATGTGTGTGTGACAAGAATGGGTAAGATAAGGAATAAATACATTTGAGGAAGTATGAAAGTGGAGCTGGTGGGCGAGAGGTTGAAGAATAATCGTCTGTCGTGGTATGGACATGTAATGCGTAGGAATGAAGATAATATTATAAGGAAAGTATATGAATGAGGATGTGGGCCGAAAAAGAGATGGATGGACTGTGTGAAAGATGATATGGCAAGAAAGGGAGTAAATAACGAGATGACTACGAACAGGGATGCGAGAAACAAATTACGCCGACCACAAATAAATGGGATAATAGAGAAGCAGATGATGATATAATTTAGCATTGAAAATTTCAAATATTCACCCTTCTAACACTAATCCCTATTTTTTATTGGATAATTTATATGTCAAAACAAAGTTTGCTGGATCTCTAGTTATAATATATTATTTCAACGGTTAATGTAAAATATTCTCAATAACATAACATTGTAATGCCGAATAAACCAATTGTACAAACACCTATATCATATAATTCATAACTTTTTTTATATGTAAATTAACCGTGTCCCTTAAAAATTTAAGGCGTGATGGTCAACTGAAGCTAGTACAGGAGACGGTGGTAAATAATCATCAGCAATAAAATGGTGGTGTTTGGTGGTGGTTCAGGCATCCATAGACTATGGCTGTATACTTGTTTGTTATCATCGTAGCATAAAAATATATATAAAATTTTACCAGAGGTAGATTTATAAACAAATTCCTTCGTTTAGATACCTCTGTGTCAACTATTATTAATAGATGATAATGGAATGGTACACCCGCATGCGCTAATGGTTTACGCTGGCGGGGCACCAGTGGAGGATGATAAGATGAGCATGAGGCCACATCTGTTAGCCCATGTGATAAATTCACCATAAATTTACGATGATTTCTGGGGAGAAACGCGTGTAGGTCAACTTGATCTGGTACATTGCTCAATGGAATTATCATTTCACATTACTAACGATCCCCTTAAGTTGTGTCAGTACATTTATATTCATGAATATGATTGTCTCTATGTATATTATGTATGTATTTACAAAAAAAAGTATCCATGCATTCAATTCAATTCAATTCAATTCAAAATATCTTTATTCATGTAGGTCTATTACAGATTCTTATGATATGTCAAATCTACCGTCAGTTCGGAATGATTTCGAGATGAGAAGAACTGACAAGAAACTCAGCTCGTATTTTTTTTTAATGATTTACAATAATACTATTTTATTTAAATTCAAATTTGAGAGAATAGAGTGACCACCAGCATATGCTATATAAAAAAAAATCGAAAAATCTAATCAGTGTTCGCAACCTGAACAGACCAGTCCTCACAAGCAGCACCCGTTCACGAGTATGACCATTATGAGCCAGCCATCATTGCACTCAACCATATTAGAGGGAGCACATCGATCCGGCCCACCACGCCGCCACAAGTTTGAACTTTATAGCGAGCATGACTGTTTCAAGTTACTCCACTACGTCATTTATATTATTTACAGCATAAACTGTACCAATCACCGTTTTCACCCATTACAATATTTAATTGTATCACATTATTTAATTATTGTCATTATCAATATTTAATTATTACAATATTTAATAATTATTTGTATCAGTTGTCTAGTACGAGACCATAAGCTCAGCTTAGCTTGGGACTAGGTGGCACTGTGTGAATGGTCTTAAATATCTATGTAATGCTATTAAATATGAACAGCTATTTTTATCGTTATCGTGACCGTCCAGTTCAGCTAGCTGTTTCAGGTGAGAAGAACTGACAAACTCAACTGGTACAGTAGTAAGTAACATTTTTTTCCAAACTATTCCAAATTAACACTGTATTTCTTTAGTAAATGTATTTTATGAATATTATCATTGCTATTCAACTTGGGAACTTTTACCGATGATCGTCAGCCATCACCGCCTTGGTCATGGTTCTTATGGATGATAATGGAATGGTGCACCCGTCTGCGCTAATGGTTTACGCTAGCGGGGCACCAGTGGAGGATGATTGAACAAATCAGGTCAGTTAGCAACATCGTGGTAAATTCACTAGGAATTTATCATGATGTTTTCTATGGGGAAATGCTAGAGGTCTACCTGATATGGTTCATTGTTAGCAATGGGGATTATTAATCCACATTATTAACAATCCCCTTCCCCCCTTGGTCATGGTCAGAGACCTGCGCCAGCCCTCTATCTTGAAGTGAAGCTGTAAAGCTTCTCTCACTAACTTTAGTATCGAGCCTCCCTCGGGGCAAGCGTGACTTCAAAAGTAGGGTCGAGTAGAATAGAGATAAAATGTTAAACTAACTAAAATCGTTTCAGTCTCTTTGTCTATAATGATTACATGAATTTTATGTGTTTGGCTTTAATATTTGTACAAGGTGCAAAATTTTGTCTGCTATTGTTCAAGTTTCGTATATATTCACTTGGATTTTTCATTGGATCATGGTACACAATTGGAACTGCAAAATGAAGCTTACGCTAGCTCTTCTGGTGATATCGGTAAGATTGTCATCAACTATCTCTTCTATTCTCTCTTCTTTATCTATCATCTTTATCTCTTCTCGCTCTTCTCTATCTTCTTGATACATAAGAAACTTAGTATTCTCACGTTACCATTTACTTTAACATTTGCACATTTGTGAAACAACATTCAAATGTGTTTACTACGCATTATCTGTTCTATCATCTTTATCTCTTCTTCTCTCTCTTCTCTATCTTCTTGATACATAAGAAACTTAGTATTCTTCCGTTACCATTTACATTAACATTTGCACATTTGTGAAACAACATTCAAATGTGTTTACTACGCATTATCTGTTCTATCATCTTTATCTCTTCTTCTCTCTCTTCTCTATCTTCTTGGTACATAAGAAACTTAATATTTTTCCGTTACATTCACGATATTTGCACATGTGTGAAATAACATCAAAATGATTCCTATGCGTTATCAGACGCATTTTAAAAGACTATCCCTGATCACAATGAAAGAATATAATATTGCTACCATAGAGCAATTCAATTATTTACCAAAAGAATGACTATGGCACTATTTTTTTTAATATAATGTATTCCTCTCCCTCTTATTTAAAATATAAACCTTTGAATAAACTGAAAATACACTATCTAACTGGTTCTTAGATAATAACAAGTTTTATAATATTGGAGAGTACTATGTTTGATGATAAATTTTGATATCATTATTTTATTGTAAATACTAATATTAATAACATTATTTTATTTATTTATTTTATTTTATTTATAAAAACTTCATGCACAAATATAAAACAAAATAAAGGTGCATATGGCGGACTTAACACCATTATTATTAATGATAATCATTTTCATTAGGATATGTAAATGATATTACAATTATTACTTAATATTTAATGAGTGTCTGGTGTAAGTTTTTCTATACCTACTATTTGAGGGAATTTGGGGCAAAATCAACAGTGAGAATTTGTCAAGGGTTGGGTGTACCACAATATCTACAGTTGATATCATCTTTCTGTATCCGTTGCTTTTTTTATTGGGGTTTTTAGGCTATTCTCAGGTGCTACGACCTGTAACACTGCGACCTACATAGATCTATTGTGCTCGCCCTTTTAGGACGTTCGCAATCTAAGACTAGTCAGATACAAGCTTTGCTTTATCCCATCATTTGTGGTCGGTAGTGTCCTTTTCTTCTGATCCCTATCCGCTATCAAATTCAAATTCAAATTCATGTAAGACATTTTAGCCGCTTATGAACGTCAAGTTTTTACATTATAATTTTTTTCCTACCATCCAGTTTATATCAGATCTTGCTCTCCTTTTATATAGATCATCTTTCACACGATCCATCCATCTTATTTCGGTTATCCTCTCCTTTTCCATCCATTCTATGTAACTATACCTCTGTTTATATTTTTTAAACCGTATTTACATTTTCTTATATATGCTTATATATGCATTGTTTTTTTACAGGCCTTCGTGGCTGTTCAGGCTGCTCCTAGGCCAGGTAAGGACATTTTTATTACTTAATTACTAGAGGATTTTTGACCTCCTTTTTAGAAGGCAAAATGTTTTAAGGTTTAATACTCAATCATTAGCATATAGTTGAAATTACGTCATCACGTCTCGAAATCGATATTAGAACAGCCTCAGCTGAGATTCGAACCCCTAAAGGTGCCGCCAGACTAAAGTCGTATCTGTCAAACGTGAGTTGGCCTTTAGCCGCTCCATAAGTCCTACCGCGGGTTTGGAGTGCCATTTGCACTCGCTCCCTATCATGAAGTGTAAAGGCCAGCTGCGGCCAAGAGCATTAGAATACAAAAATGCAGCGATGGAACTACAATACACTGTAATAATTATACAATTTAGTTAATTAATAGAACATTCTACAGTGTAGTTCAGAGTTTTAAGTTTATTTTGAGTTTTAAGTAATTAAGTTTTTATTGAGATTTTTTAAGAAAAAATAGCATTAAAAATATTCATTTATTCCATATTTACTGCGTATAATTAACAAACATAAATCTTGAAGATGAAAGATGAAAGAAGATATAAAAAAACAAATGAACACAACAAATCATACCAAATTATTATTTATTAACTGGTAACATCTTAATTTAAATAATGTCTTTTTATGAGTGTTGCGGGGTATTGATACAATGTTGTCTGTTGAGACTAAGTGTACTCGCGACTTCGTCCGCGTGGAATTTATGTTATTTTTTTAAAATAAAAGTAGACTTTTTTGGCAGGTAGCTGATATAATAAGGAGTAACTTCTCTTTATTACATCAGCTACCTGCCAAAAAAGTTCCGTCCAAAATCGTCCGGCCATTTCAAAGATTAGCCGGAACAAACAGATAGACAGACAGACAAAAATTGTAAAAAATGTTACCAAAACAAAAATTCACTTCTAGTCCCAATTCAATTCCGCATAATTTGGAATCGTTCAAATTAATTTTGAACTTTCATGAGAATAATAATAATAATAATAATACCCCTGACCAATTACAACGTCATCTAGTTCCAAGACAAGCATAGCGTATGTTATGGATACTAGACAACTATGAAAAGAACCATCATATTCATGAATACCAAAGTTTGTACGGTGCGAAGAATCCAACCCGTGACTATTGGAAGTAAACCGGTGTGTTAAACCGCTAGACTAGCGACACCGTCAATCTTTTGCTCACGAATTGAATCTGATAGATGCTGATCAACCTTTAAGCTATAAGTTAATGTTCTTTCTAGCAAATAAGTTCTTGTTCTTTTGCCGTACTAAACAAAATAATTTTTGTTCCTTCGTGAGAAACCGTCTTCAGAATTAATTAATTCTTTCCTAATACTGTGAATATTTATTTTATATCCAGAGCCCAACGTCATCTCTATTAGCAGTCAATCCAGCGAGCAATCCAGCAGTAGCAGTAGCTTCCAAAGTTCGAGCAGTAGCAGTAGTAACGGCAAAAGCAGTAGTTCATCGAAAAGCTCATCAAGCTCGTCTGAACAGGAAAAATCCAGCTCGAAAAGTATCAGCATCGGAGGTGGCAGCAGTTCTTCTCGAAGCAGCAGCAGCTCCTCTAGCTCATCAAAACAAGAAAGCGAATCCAGTTCTAAAAGCAGTAGCGGAGGAATAAGCGTCAGTAAGAGTAGCTCCTCAAGCGCTTCCAAAGAAGAAAGCGAATCTAGGTCTAGAAGCAGCAGTAATGGAAGCAGCTCCAGCAAGAGTAGTTCCGCTAGTGCATCCAGATCAGAAAGTGAATCCAGGTCTAGAAACAGCAGTAATGGAAGCAGCAGCAGCAAGAGTAGTTCCGCTAGTGCATCCAGATCAGAAAGTGAATCCAGGTCTAGAAACAGCAGTAATGGAAGCAGCAGCAGCAAGAGTAGTTCCGCTAGTGCATCCAGATCAGAAAGTGAATCCAGGTCTAGAAACAGCAGCAATGGAAGCAGCAGCAGCAAGAGTAGTTCCGCTAGTGCATCCAGATCAGAAAGTGAATCCAGGTCTAGAAACAGCAGTAATGGAAGCAACAGCAGCAAGAGTAGTTCCGCTAGCGCATCCAGATCAGAAAGTGAATCCAGGTCTAGAAACAGCAGCAATGGAAGCAGCAGTAGCAAGAGTAGTTCTGCTAGTGCATCCAGATCAGAAAGTGAATCCAGGTCTAGAAACAGCAGTAATGGAAGCAGCAGCAGCAAGAGTAGTTCTTCCAGTGCATCCAAAGAAGAAAGTGAATCTAGATCTAGAAGCAGCGGGTGTGGTAAGAGCAGCAGTAAAAGCAGTTCCTCTAGTGCATCCAGAGAAGAAAGTGAATCTAGGTCTAGAAGCAGTAGTCACGGAAGCAGCAGCAGTAAGAGCAGTTCTTCAAGTGCGTCCAGACAAGAAAGTGAATCAAAGTCTAGAAGCAGCAGTAAAGGAAGCAGTAGTAGTAAGAGTAGTTCTTCCAGCGCATCTAAAGAAGAAAGTGAATCCAGATCTAGAAATAGTAGTAATGGAAGCAGTAGCAGTAGCAGCAAGAGTAGTTCCTCCAGTGCATCCAGATCAGAAAGCGAATCCAGGTCCAGAGGTAGCAGTAGGGGAAGCAGCCACAGCAAGAGTAGTTCCTCAAGTGCATCCAGATCAGAAAGTGAATCCAGATCTAGAAGCAGCAGTAAGGGTAGCAGTAACAGCGAGAGGAGATCCTCTAGCGAATCCCGAGAAGAAAGTGAATCTAGGTCCAGAAGCAGCAGCAGAGGAAGAAGCAGCAGTAGAAGCAGATCTTCTTCTTGGAGAAAATCTGAAGAAGAAGAATCACGACGACGCTCCCACAGGGATTGGAACAAAAAATCCGGCTGCGGATCTCATAAGGGTAGCAGTTCAAACAGCAGTGGCTCAAGTAGTAGCAACTCGAACAGCAGCAGTTCCAACAACAGTAGCTCAAACAGTTCTGGATCAAGTAACAGCAGCTCAAATAGCAGCAGTTCTAATAACAACAGCTCAAACAACAGTAGCTCCAATAGCTCCGGATCAAGCAACAGCAGTTCAAACAGCAGCAGTTCCAACAACAGTAGCTCAAACAGCTCTGGATCAAGCAACAGCAGTTCAAACAGCAGCAGTTCGAACAACAGCAGCTCAAACAGCTCCGGCTCAAGCAGCAATAACTCAAGCAGCAGTAGCTCCAACAACAGCAGCTCAAATAGCTCTGGATCAAGCAACAGTAGCAGTTCCAACAACAGTAGCTCAAATAGCTCTGGATCAAGTAACAGTAGCTCAAACAGCTCTGGATCAAGTAACAGTAGCAGCTCCAACAACAGTAGCTCAAACAGCTCAGGCTCAAGTAGTAACAACTCCAGCAGCAGCAGCTCCAACAACAGTAGCTCAAACAGTTCTGGATCAAGTAACAGTAGCAGTTCCAACAACAGTAGCTCAAACAGCTCAGGCTCAAGTAGTAACAACTCCAGTAGCAGCAGCTCCAACAACAGTAGCTCAAACAGTTCTGGATCAAGTAACAGTAGCAGCTCCAACAACAGTAGCTCAAACAGCTCTGGATCAAGCAACAGTAGCTCAAACAGCAGCAGTTCCAACAACAGTAGCTCAAACAGCTCTGGATCAAGCAACAGCAGCTCAAATAGCAGCAGCTCCAACAACAGTAGCTCAAACAGCTCTGGATCAAGCAACAGCGGCAGTTCCAACAACAGTAGCTCAAATAGCTCTGGATCAAGTAACAGTAGCTCAAACAGCTCTGGATCAAGTAACAGCAGCAGCTCCAACAACAGTAGCTCAAACAGCTCTGGATCAAGTAACAGTAGCAGCTCCAACAACAGTAGCTCAAACAGCTCTGGATCAAGCAACAGTAGCTCAAACAGCAGCAGTTCTAACAACAGTAGCTCAAACAGCTCTGGGTCAAGCAACAGCAGCTCAAACAGCAGCAGCTCCAACAACAGTAGCTCAAACAGCTCTGGATCAAGTAACAGTAGCAGTTCCAACAACAGTAGCTCAAATAGCTCTGGATCAAGTAACAGTAGCTCAAACAGCTCTGGATCAAGTAACAGTAGCAGCTCCAACAACAGTAGCTCAAACAGCTCTGGATCAAGCAACAGCAGCTCAAACAGCAGCAGCTCCAACAACAGTAGCTCAAACAGCTCAGGCTCAAGTAGTAACAACTCCAGCAGCAGCAGCTCCAACAACAGTAGCTCGAACAGTTCTGGATCAAGTAACAGTAGCAGTTCCAACAACAGTAGCTCAAACAGCTCTGGATCAAGCAACAGTAGCAGTTCCAACAACAGTAGCTCAAATAGCTCTGGATCAAGTAACAGTAGCTCAAACAGCTCTGGATCAAGTAACAGTAGCAGCTCCAACAACAGTAGCTCAAACAGCTCTGGATCAAGCAACAGCAGCTCAAACAGCAGCAGCTCCAACAACAGTAGCTCAAACAGCTCAGGCTCAAGTAGTAACAACTCCAGCAGCAGCAGCTCCAACAACAGTAGCTCAAACAGTTCTGGATCAAGTAACAGTAGCAGTTCCAACAACAGTAGCTCAAACAGCTCTGGATCAAGCAACAGTAGCAGTTCCAACAACAGTAGCTCAAATAGCTCTGGATCAAGTAACAGTAGCTCAAACAGCTCTGGATCAAGTAACAGTAGCAGCTCCAACAACAGTAGCTCAAACAGCTCTGGATCAAGCAACAGCAGCTCAAACAGCAGCAGCTCCAACAACAGTAGCTCAAACAGCTCAGGCTCAAGTAGTAACAACTCCAGCAGCAGCAGCTCCAACAACAGTAGCTCAAACAGTTCTGGATCAAGTAACAGTAGCAGTTCCAACAACAGTAGCTCAAACAGCTCTGGATCAAGCAACAGTAGCAGTTCCAACAACAGTAGCTCAAATAGCTCTGGATCAAGTAACAGTAGCTCAAACAGCTCTGGATCAAGTAACAGTAGCAGCTCCAACAACAGTAGCTCAAACAGCTCTGGATCAAGCAACAGCAGCTCAAACAGCAGCAGCTCCAACAACAGTAGCTCAAACAGCTCAGGCTCAAGTAGTAACAACTCCAGTAGCTCCAACAACAGTAGCTCAAACAGTTCTGGATCAAGTAACAGTAGCAGTTCCAACAACAGTAGCTCAAACAGCTCTGGATCAAGCAACAGTAGCAGTTCCAACAACAGTAGCTCAAATAGCTCTGGATCAAGTAACAGTAGCTCAAACAGCTCTGGATCAAGTAACAGTAGCAGCTCCAACAACAGTAGCTCAAACAGCTCTGGATCAAGCAACAGCAGCTCAAACAGCAGCAGCTCCAACAACAGTAGCTCAAACAGCTCAGGCTCAAGTAGTAACAACTCCAGCAGCAGCAGCTCCAACAACAGTAGCTCAAACAGTTCTGGATCAAGTAACAGTAGCAGTTCCAACAACAGTAGCTCAAACAGCTCAGGCTCAAGTAGTAACAACTCCAGCAGCAGCAGCTCCAACAACAGTAGCTCAAACAGTTCTGGATCAAGTAACAGTAGCAGCTCCAACAACAGTAGCTCAAACAGCTCTGGATCAAGCAACAGTAGCTCAAACAGCAGCAGTTCCAACAACAGTAGCTCAAACAGCTCTGGATCAAGCAACAGCAGCTCAAATAGCAGCAGTTCCAACAACAGTAGCTCAAACAGTTCTGGATCAAGCAGCAACAACTCAAGCAGCAGCAGTTCCAACAACAGCAGCTCAAACAGTTCTGGATCAAGCAACAGTAGCTCAAACAGCTCTGGATCAAGTAACAGCAGCAGCTCCAACAACAGTAGCTCAAACAGCTCTGGATCAAGCAACAGCAGCAGTTCCAACAACAGTAGCTCAAATAGCTCTGGATCAAGTAACAGTAGCTCAAACAGCTCTGGATCAAGTAACAGTAGCTCAAACAGCTCTGGATCAAGTAACAGTAGCAGCTCCAACAACAGTAGCTCAAACAGCTCTGGATCAAGCAACAGTAGCTCAAACAGCTCTGGATCAAGCAACAGTAGCTCAAACAGCTCTGGATCAAGCAACAGTAGCTCAAACAGCTCTGGATCAAGCAACAGTAGCTCAAACAGCAGCAGTTCCAACAACAGCAGCTCAAACAGTTCAGGCTCAAGCAGCAACAACTCAAGCAGCAGCAGTTCCAACAACAGCAGCTCAAACAGTTCTGGATCAAGCAACAGTAGCTCAAATAGCAGCAGTTCTAATAATAGCAGTTCAAACAGTTCTGGATCAAGCAACAGCAGCAGTTCCAACAACAGCAGTTCTAACAGCTCTGGATCAAACAGCAGCGGCTCAAGCAGCAGTGGCTCAAACAGCAGTGGATCAAGCAGCAGTGGATCAAGCAGCAGTGGATCAAGTAGCAGTGGATCAAGCAGCAGTGGCAAGAGGTAAAAATATTATATTTCATTAATTACTGAATGAGAATATGGGGAGTCATTTGTCAAATGTTGATGATGTAATAGTGATCGTATTAGACGCTTTTATAGTATGTTATTTAAATTAACAGCAGAAAACTGATCAAGAGTATTACAAGTTTTAACATAAAAATGTTGTTGTTTACAGTGTTTCACGTGGTTCATCATCAAGTAGCGCTGGTTACCAATCTAGTAGCAGCAGTAGCCAATCGTCTAGCAAAGGTAGCTCAACTAGCTCGCAGTCAAGCCAAGAATCAGGATTCCAGTCCAGCTCAAGCAGCGTTGAGAGGCGTAATGCCGATGGTAGCCAAAGCAGCAGCAGCAGTTCCAGCAGCAACGCCGCTCAGAGTAGCAGCAGTAGTAGTCAGACCAAGAACGCCGACGGTAGCCAGAGCCGCTCAAGCGCAAGCAACAGTGCTGTTTCACAATCCAGCTCAAGTAGCAGTCAACAACGAAACGCTGATGGTAGCCAAAGTAGCAGCAGTAGCTCCAATAACAGCGCTGCCCAGAATAGCAGCAGTAGTAGCCAGACTAAGAACGCTGATGGTAGCAAGAGCAGCTCAACCTCCAGCAACAGCGCTGCATCTCAATCCAGCTCTAGCAGTAGTCAGCAACGTAGCGCTGACGGCAGCAGCAGCCAAAGCAGCAGCAGTTCTTCCAGCTACTCCAGCTCATCATCATCTTCATCAAGCTGGTCCAGCGATTAAACTACACGATCCAATTGTACTAGATATTGTGCCGATCCGTTCAAACGCTGTGTGAACTAACCAAATTGGTTTTGAGTCTTGGAAAATAATTATCATGTGGAATGAAACTACATATTTGACGAAGAAATCTGGCGATGAATTTGATCGGCGATTGACTTGGCTTTGTAAAATGGCTTTATCAACTGAGTTTAATTTTAATTTTTCATTGAAGAGTACGGAAAACGAAAATTGTTGTACATAGAAATCCATCAGAACTATGAAATGATAGGAAACATAAACAACAAGATGTGATATTGTATACTCTTTGATAAAATTTGAAGCATTATAAAAAAGTTATAAAAAAAGGTAAATGAAGTTTAAATAAAGAATAACATGCAATTAACTGGTCCTTTTTATTTGATTAAATTAATTATTACCTATGGAAGTATTGTTCATATCACATACATAGTATAATATCACTTTCGCAGTCTGTCCGCTTAGATTTTTTAAATTACAAACGAATTTTAATGCAGTTTTAGCAATAGATAGAGTGATTCAAGAGAATATTTTATATATAATACATGTATAAAGCTTGGTGTACTCAGTAGAGTGAGACGGTATTTCACGGCGGCCCATCGCTTGCAATTATACAAGGCGCAGATCCGGCCGCATATGGAATACTGTTCTCATCTCTGGGCGGGAGCACCATAATACCAGCTACTTCCATTTGACCGCATTCAGAACCGAGCAGCCAGAATCATTGGTAATCAACGTCTATGTGACAGACTCGACCCTTTGGCTTTGCGGCGAGATATTGCATCTCTGTGCATTTTCTACCGCATATATCACGGGGAGTGTTCTGAGGAATTGTTCGGATTAATACCAGCTGCTGAGTTTCATCACCGTATCACCCGCCAGAAACAAAAATACCATCCTGATCATCTGGATGAATGGCGGTCTTCCACAGTGCTGTTTTCTAGAAACTTTTTGCTCGCACAACCACATTGTGGAATCACCTTCCAGCAATGGTATTTCCGAACCTACATATACGATATTGAAACCTTCAAGAAAAGAGCTTATTCCTTTTTAAAAGGCCGACAACGTACTTGCAATTCCCCTGGTGTTGCGGGTGCTCATGGGCGGCGGTAATCACTTACCATCAGGTGAGCCACATGCTCGTTTGTCCCCTGTGTTATAAAAAAAAAACAAATGTACACCGATGCAAAGCCAGGACGGGCAGCAAGTCATCATCATCACCATCAGTACACAGTATAAACAAAGTCGCTGTCGCTATATATGACTATATATGCTTAAATCTTTAAAACTACGCAACGATTTTGAAACGGTTTTTCTTAATAGATAGAGTGATTGAAGAGGAAGGTTTATATATATAATACATGTACACTGATGCAAAGCCCGCCCTGGGTAGCAATTTATATATAAATCTTATTTATCTTTATACTACCTCTATTTGACAGCCTCGGTGGTCTAGTGGTTTAGCACACCTTTACTATCCGATGGTCGTGGGTTCGATTCCTTGCAGGGTACAAACATTTGTATTCATGAGTATGATTGTTTGTATCGGTCTGGGTGTTTTCTACGTATAATATGTATTCATTTACAAAACAAATGTATCCATGTATTTATATCAGTTGTCTAGTACCCATAACACAAGCTCTGCTTAGCTTGGGACTAGATGGCGCTTCCTTACTCTTTCTTATACAATTGCTTAGATGGCACTATAATTTTATGGAGTAGCTGAAGGCCAACCTCTCATATTACTTTGGTCAGATTAAAGTAACGCTAGGGGTTCGATCATCGGCTCAGGCCGTCGTAATTTAGATCCCCGTTTGTTGGATGGTTGGGGGGTCGATCGGAGGGGGTGTGAGATGTATTACGGGCATCACGTGGTTTATGTAGTGTATTTATATATTACTTTTATACTTTGTAGGTAATAAGATATTTGTATATATAAAGTGGCGTGTAGAATTTAAGACAACCAGAGTTTGTTGAAGGCATTCCCATATATAACAGCTAAGTGAACGGGTGCGATATTATCTATCTCCATATCTTACAGTTTGTAATCTCAATAGACAATAATTTTTACATCTTTACACCGACTAACTGAAAATAGTATGTTCCATGCTAAGTCCTAGCAGGTACTCGCAGGTACTACTGCATACATACTAGTAGTTCTTAATTTCGTCCGGGAGGCGGTAGGGAATGGTCATATAAAAATTTATTTCTTACCAGCGAACCAAATGATTGCAGATCTTTTAAGCCTCTTTGTCATGTTAATAATATTAATATTAATTTTAAAAAATAAAGCTGAGTTTCTTGTTAGTTCTTCTCATCTCGTAATCATTCCGAACTGACGGTAGATTTGACATATCATAAGAGTCTGTAATAGAGCTACACGAATAAAGATATTTTGATTTGATTTGTATATTTAAACAGAAATTTGTTAAGGACTTAGTGTTGTCCAAATAACTGTATTAAAAAAAAAATTCAAAACATCTTTATTCATGTAGGTCTATTATAGATACTCTTATGATATGTCAAATCTACCGTCAGTTCGGAATGACTTCGAGATGAGAAGAACTGACAAGAAACTCAGCTCGTACTTTTTTTTAATGTTGTACATATTTACAATAATACTATTTCATTTAAATTCAAATTTGGGAGAATAGAGTGACCACCAGCATATGCTATATAAAAAAAAATCAAAAAATCTAATCAGTGTTCGCAACCTGAACAGACCAGTCCCCACAATGGTATATGTTTTGTATATAAGATTAAAGGGTGGTATTGAGGTTTATTACTTCTATTAAATAATACCGATAATTTAAGTACAGCCGTCGTTTGTTTAAGCAACCACGTTTTAAACAAGGGTTTAAAACGTGGTTTAAAACTAAATGGCTGACCAAGGGGTCAGCCATTTAGTATTTACTGGTTTATTATAGTTTTTATTGTTATTTGAGGAAAACAAAGATTATAGCACAGGATGGTTAACTCATGGACTTTATTGAACGTGGTGTTTGTGTCATTTTCATCAAAAACTTCCGCGAAAGTCAGCGGCGACATAGAGTATTTGAATTTATTAATGTTTTCCTGACTTATAATTTTATTACAAAAAAATATCAGTTGTCTAGTACACATAACAGAAGATCTTGGGACTAGATGGCGCTGTGTTAATTGTCCAGGGTTATTATTATTATTACATGCCATGAATTTAATGGTGGTGAAACCGCAGGCACAACTAGATTTAAATATTTATCACGAACGGTGGGCCCGCATGTTCTGAGCTGTAAGCCTTCAGGAAATGACAAATCATTTCCTGAACTTTTCAAAGGGTAACTAATTCTTTACGGTACTTTTCGGTACTTTTCAAAGGGTAAACGTGGTCGTGTGGAATGAGTAGTCATGCTCACTAAAATGTCCAGACATGTGGCGGCGTGGTGGGCCTGGTCAATGGACTCCCTAAAATATGGTCGAGCGCAGTGATGGCTGGCTCATCCGTCATACTCGTGAACGAGTGCTGCTTGTAGGGACTGGTCTGCTCTTATCACTACGACTGATTTAATCTTATTGCATATTTATATTTGACCCAAAAAATTAGTGCTTGTTGGTAGTTTGTATTCACACGTTTCGACTTGTAAATGTAAACTTACAAGGAGTATTTAAAAGAGCAACACACAAGTTTCTTGCTCGTTCTTCTTGTGATGAGACAGCTTTCCAAACGAGTGGTAGATAAAAAACAAATTGTTATGACTATTCAAAAGTGCTTAAATTAAGTTTATTTGAATAAATGATTTTCTATTCTATTTCTATTCTATTCTAATTATTGTATATTTACATACTAATTTTGATCCCAATTGTATTAAAAAAAAAATGTTTTAAGGGAAATTAGTAGAACAAAAGTTGTTCGTTAAAATAGTAACGTCTTCCAGGACCTAATTAAGGCTTAGCAATATATATAAAATTGGAGTGTCTGTTTGTAATATTGAAATAACCGTTTTTTACTACATGCATATGAATATAAATACGGTACATACACCAAAATAACATTTTATACAATTTTTGTCTGTCTGTCTGTCGGTTAGTTTGTTCCGGCTAATCTCTGAAATGGCAGTACCGATTTTGACGGGACTTTTTTGGCAGGTAGCTGATGTAGTAAGGAGTAACTTAGGCTACTCATATTTTATAAAAATAAGTTAAGTTTCACGCGGACAAAGTCGCGGGATCAGTTAGTTTATGTCTAACATATGTTTTTCTTCATCAATAATAACCGTAATAATTCAACCACTTGTTAAAACGAGCGAAAGTTTATGAATTAACCATGGATGGATGTTTGTTACTTCTCTCACCCTAGCTTTTAAAATATGTTATCTTTCATTCATTCATAAACGGATTTCCATCATGCTAAAACTTGATACGACAATGACTCCCATTTTGTCCTCAGTTTGTTTGATGTAGCTAGATTTTCCCCTCAATATTAATTTTCATGAAATCATCGTGCCGTATCAAATGTCTTTATATAGTATAAAAAGAAGTCGCTCTCACTGTCTATTCGCTTAGATCTTTTAAACGTATTTTAAAACAGTTTTTAGCAATAGATAGAGTGATTCAAGAAGAAGGTTTATATCTTATTAATATTATAAACGCGAAAGTTTATGAGCATGGATGGATGTTTGATACTCTTTCACGCAAAAACTACTAAACGGAAGTCGCTTATACGTCAGAATAACATATAGCGCGGTAATTGCCAGTTTTACAATTAACATCCGTGCGAAGTCGGGGCGGGTAGTTAGCTTACGCCTAATTTCAATGAACATAACATTTTTAGGTAGCTAATGCTATACTTGATCGTCTACCAAGAAATCGTTTACAGCGCAGTTAATAAACTTTACTCAAGAAGTATTTGATAATAAAAATTTGGATTTTTTAAAAAGTAGATGCAATATATCTTTCAATGACAATTTCAACAAATGAACATAGCTATACATTAACAGTAAGATACCGAACCTCGTAGGTATAGTTCAAGTTAAACCAGTGTTTTTCAATCCTGATTTCGCGACCCCTTTATAGTTTGAAATATCCTGGCGACCCCCTTGTGTCATAGAAAGCCAAAGAAATAATTTAATTAAGTCTACATACGTTAGTTAGGTTTTTTTTTGTATTTTGGTACATTTATCTATTAATCACGCGGACTACACTGCGTCGGCGTCGATGACGTTGATATATGAACCTAGACTTTTTCTTTTAGCTGACGACACTTCAAGTAAGGCGACCCACAGATTAAAAAATACTGAGTTAAACCATTATAATAATAATATGAGAAGAGCTACGACATCAAACGAAACTATATCAATTCCAATCTTTGCAGTTATTTCTGTTGAAGGGAGATTTAATGACGATGTTGAATTTGTTAAAAAGAAAACATCTGTAATTGATGCTCACAAAATTTTTATTATATGCAACTTTTTTTTTACATTTTCAACTAAATGCTTCTTGAGTCAATATTTATACGATTACATTCCATCAAGTATTCAGAAATACTTGCTATAAGTCTATCCATAAGTTTATATCTCACTGCTATTCAATCAAATAATAAAATTAATGAAAGATATTTAGATTATCCTTCATATTCTAAATCAGATCCGTTTAAGAACGCCAAGTAGACCAAATGACATCGACAATCTTATACCAAAAGATCTAAAAATTTAAAACAATTATTAAGAAATTTCATAGAGTATTATAAATTGTCGAATCAGTTGGTTAGAAGAAGGCTTCATCGAACTTAATCGCTTGACCAACTTGATGATGAAGAGGACGAGCTTGATGAACTTGAAGAACTCGAGCTGCTTTCGCTGGAGCTTCCATCAGCGCTCACTGTTCTTGAGGAGCTTGAACTAGCCTGGCGCGATGCGTTGTTACTAGATGACGAACTGCTTTGGCTACCGTCAGCGTTGATGACTTGACTGCTTTGGCTGCTTTGTTGAGCGGCCCTCTGGCTGGATTGGCTGCTCTCACTTTCGCTACCGTCAGCGTTTTGAGACTGGCTGCTGCTCGAGGAGGATTGGGCGATGGCAGCATTGGACGAACTCGACCGGGAGCTGCTTCCGTTGGCGCCAGATGATTCGCTGCTACTGCTGTTAGCTATCGCACTGTTTGATGAGGAGCTGCTGGAACGACTAGAAACAAAAATAATATCATTATTACAACTACAATAGAAATGGGTATAGTATACCAGTGTATGTACACCCATTTGCTATAACGGTAGTCGCATGTGGAAAGTGATAATATGAGCAAAAAGTCAAGTCAGTTAGCCTATGATGATGAATTTTTGAGTAACCAAAATGGTTTCCATAGGATACCTGAGGAAATTAAGCTGACATACAGTTCTTGCAATAAAGGAGAAGTTCCGTCACACCGTGAAGATGTTAAGCTGAAAGGAAGTCCCTAGTTGTTAGGACATGTGGCATCATTGCTAGCTGACAGGGTGTTTCAAAGCCCGTGATTCGGTCATAGTAAAAACGCGGATATGAGCTTACTAACTGATCTTCAATCTCATCGTACTAATTTCCACTGATGCCACAGGACAAACGAGCATGCGGCTCACCTGATGGTAAGTGATTACCGCCGCCCATGAGCACCCGCACCACCCATGAACACCAGAGGAGTTGCAAATACGTTGTCGGCCTTTTAAAAAGGAATAAGCTCTTTTCTTGAAGGTTTCAATATCGTATCGGTTCGGAAATACCATCGCTGGAAGGTGATTCCACAATGTGGTTGTGCGAGGCAAAAAGTTTCTAGAAAACTGCACTGTGGAAGACCGCCATTCGTCCAGATGATCAGGATGGTATTTTAGTTTCTGGCGGGTGGTACGGAGTATACCGGTAACGGAAGCAGGGATCTTGTCATTATCATCTATTACAACGTAATTATAATAATTCTTCAATAAAATAACTGTTCTTAGATTGTATTTATCTTTCCTCATTAGTAAAATACTGTATCGTAATAACTAGTTATTGGTCAGGCAGTGGATATGTCAATTGCCAACGTTATGCTGAAAATAATATTTGACAAATGGTATTACGGTGGATACATTTAAATCCAACGATTGTAACTAGGGACGGGCCTAATGCAGTCACTCGGAATAATTTTTGGTGGTACTTCTTGACCAAATAGTGACGTGATCCACAAAGTTTATTAAGAATTTGTGACGCTCATGAACTCATAAAGTTGTCTATTCTGTGGACTAAGTTCTCAGGCCTACAGTGATATGTGAATATGTAGTGTAATTACTAAAATTACCTGCGGACGACATTGGATCCACTGGAGTTGCTGCTACTGCTACCAGAGCTATTACTAGAACTGCCACTGCTGGAATTGTTCGAACTACTTCCGCTATTGCTGGAGCCGCTTGAATTACTGCTACTACTGCCAGAGCTGTTACTAGAGCTCCCACTGCTATTGTTTGAGCTACTGCTAGAGTTATTTGAACTACTGTCGCTGCTGCTGGAATCGCTGGAGTTACTGCTGCTGTTACTAGCGCTGTTGCTAGCACTATTGCTGGCACTGTTACTAGCGCTGTTGCTGGCGCTGTTGCTAGCACTGTTGCTGGCGCTGTTGCTGGCACTGTTGCTGGCACTGTTACTGGCACTATTGCTAGCACTGTTACTAGCGCTATTGCTAGCACTGTTGCTAGCGCTGTTACTGGCGCTGTTACTGGCGCTGTTACTAGCGCTGTTACTAGCGCTATTACTGGCACTGTTACTGGCACTGTTACTGGCGCTGTTACTGGCGCTGTTGCTGGCGCTGTTACTGGCGCTGTTGCTGGCGCTGTTGCTGGCGCTGTTGCTGGCGCTGTTGCTGGCGCTGTTGCTGGCGCTGTTGCTGGCGCTGTTGCTGGCGCTGTTGCTGGCGCTGTTGCTGGCGCTGTTGCTGGCGCTGTTGCTGGCGCTGTTGCTGGCGCTGTTGCTAGCACTATTGCTGGCACTGTTGCTGGCACTGTTGCTGGCACTGTTGCTGGAACTGTTGCTGGCGCTGTTACTGCTGGAGTTGTTAGAGCTACTTCCGCTGCTGCTGGAGTTCTGTGAGCTACTTCCGCTGCTGCTGGAGTTCTGTGAGCTACTTCCACTGCTGCTGGAGTTCTGTGAGCTACTTCCGCTGCTGCTGGAGTTCTGTGAGCTACTTCCGCTGCTGCTGGAGTTCTGTGAGCTACTTCCGCTGCTGCTGGAGTTCTGTGAGCTACTTCCGCTGCTGCTGGAGTTCTGTGAGCTACTTCCGCTGCTGCTGGAGTTCTGTGAGCTACTTCCGCTGCTGCTGGAGTTCTGTGAGCTACTTCCGCTGCTGCTGGAGTTCTGTGAGCTACTTCCGCTGCTGCTGGAGTTCTGTGAGCTACTTCCGCTGCTGCTGGAGTTCTGTGAGCTATTTCCGCTGCTGCTGGAGTTCTGTGAGCTACTTCCGCTACTGCTGGAGTTCTGTGAGCTACTTCCGCTGCTGCTGGAGTTCTGTGAGCTACTTCCGCTGCTGCTAGAGTTCTGTGAGCTACTTCCGCTACTGCTGGAGTTTTGTGAGCTACTTCCGCTGCTGCTGGAGTTCTCTGAGCTACTTTCGCTACTGCTGGAATCACTCGAGTTACTGCTGCTATTGCTGGCGCTGTTACTTGAACTGTTGCTAGCACTGTTGCTGGAACTGTTACTGGCGTTGTTGCTGGAACTGTTACTGGCGCTGTTACTTGAACTGTTACTAGCGCTGTTACTGGCACTGTTGCTGGCACTGTTACTTGCGCTGTTGCTGGCACTGTTACTGGCACTGTTACTGGCGCTGTTGCTAGCGCTGTTGCTGGCGCTATTACTGGCACTGTTGCTGGCACTGTTACTGGCACTGTTGCTGGCACTGTTACTGGCGCTGTTGCTGGCACTGTTACTAGCGCTGTTGCTAGCACTGTTACTAGCGCTGTTGCTTGCGCTGTTGTTGGCGCTGTTGCTGGCGCTGTTGCTGGCGCTGTTGCTGGCACTGTTGCTGGCGCTGTTGCTAGCACTGTTACTGGCACTGTTGCTGGCGCTGTTGCTGGCACTGTTACTGGCACTGTTGCTGGCACTGTTGCTGGCGCTGTTGCTTGCACTGTTGCTGGCACTGTTGCTGGCACTGTTGCTGGCACTGTTGCTGGCACTGTTGCTGGCACTGTTGCTGGCGCTGTTGCTTGCACTGTTGCTGGCGCTGTTGCTTGCACTGTTGCTGGCGCTGTTGCTGGCACTGTTGCTGGCGCTGTTGCTGGCGCTGTTGCTGGCGCTATTGCTGGCACTGTTGCTGGCGCTGTTGCTTGCACTGTTGCTGGCGCTGTTACTGGCACTGTTGCTGGCGCTGTTACTACTTGAGTTGGATCCACTGCTGCTAGAACTCTGAGCTGACTGGCTGCTCTGAGATGAAGAGCTGGAGCCACTGTTGCTGGATGACTGTTGCTCTGGCATGAAGAGCTGGCCACTGTTGCCAGAACTCTGAGATGACTGGCTGCTGTTACCAGAACTCTGAGCTGACTGGCTGCTCTGAGATGAAGAGCTGGAGCCACTGTTACCAGAACTCTGAGATGACTGGCTGCTCTGAGATGAAGAGCTAGAGCCACTGTTACCAGAACTCTGAGATGACTGGCTGCTCTGAGATGAAGAGCTAGAGCCACTGTTACCAGAACTCTGAGATGATTGGATGATTTCAGAAGATGAACTGGACTGTTGAGACGAGCTCTGAGATGATTGACTACTCTGTGAACTGCTGGATTCACTGCTAGAAGACTCAGAACTGCTGCTACTGCTGCTACTGCTTCTCTGAGAACTGCTACTCGATACCTGGGAGATGACGACGTTTGGGTCTGGAAAAGAAATTTTATGTCATTACTTCTGGAGTGCATTTTGTCTACTTCACCTATTTCAGCTGCTAAGCAGTTTACTTTGTAAGCTATGTTTCGGGTGTAGGGTGAAGGCATTTATTAGGCAATTAATTTATATACGAAAAATATTAATTTAAAAGTTACAAAAATTTGTCTAGTATCTATTATCCAAGCTAAGCATAGTTTGGGGCTAGATGACGCTATGTGAATTGTCCTAGACAATTATTATTGTAGATATGATACAGTTTCCCGTTATTACGAGCACAAATATTATTAAATGTAACTTTAAACTTATGAAAGTAAAAGCTATGTTTGTATGTATGGATGAGTGTTTATTACTTTCACGCAAAAAAATCGAAATATTATATAAGCTGTAATTTAAAAATATATTGTCTAAATTGAACATAATATAATGATAGTTAAGTATCAAATTAATAATCTTCAACCAAAATTTTAAAAATAATGATCCATTTCAAATTTCCTAGATTATTTTCTCATTGACCACTTTCAAAATTTTGCTGAGAGAAAACTTATTTAAGCGTTGCGAAAAACGAATTAGTTTTCGTAAAAAGAAGAAAAACTTCGATTTAATGATATCACTCTATATGTGATAATTTATGTTCTATGGTCTGATAATAATATCTCAGGACAATTCACACACCGCCATCTAGTCCCAAGCTAAGCAGAGCTTATGTTATGGGTACTAGATTACTGATAGAAATACTTAGAAAACACCCAGATCGATACAAAAAATTATACTCATATATAAATACAAATTGTACCGTGCGAGGAATCGAATCCGCGACTACCGGAAATGAAGCGGTATGCCAAACCATAAGATAGAGAAGTACTTACTGGCTCTAGGAGCGGCCTGGGCAGCCACGAAGGCCTGAAAACAAAAACAAAAGTAATTATTTCAAAAATAAAATAAATATTCATGGCATGTTCCTTATAAGAGGACATCTTTTATAGATACGTCACACTACTCACAGTAATTTTTACTCCCACCCCCTCTGTCACATTTGGTGAAAGTATAATAGTGTCGTGTTTTATTTATTTATTTATTTATTTATATAACTTTAATGCACAAAATACCAAGGTAAAAGCACATATGGCGGCCAACGCCTTAAGGCATTTTCTACCAGTCAACCATAGGCTGTGCAGAGAAAAACTGTTTTAACAATAAAATGGAAATGTGACGTTTCCAAATTTAAGACCTCCTCCCTTCTTAACGTGTGAAAAAACTTTGATCATTTTTCCGCCGGAGAGAAAGCGATGTGGTGAGTGGGATTTTTGACAACTTAAACTGTACACGGTGGACCTGCAAGCGCATTGCTAAAGTTGAGGCTTCGGAGTCGGGGTAAAATGCATATGCGCATTCTACTTCGACTCCGACGACAAAACATGGTAAGATCCTAGAAATCTGCTATGTGTGATATTTTACTTAACCTATGGCTACGGCTCCCCGTCCAATTTCACGATTTTTTACACTAAGTTTGTTACTTAAACCCTTTTTTCATTATATCATACTTAAGTTCCTAATATCCTTCAATTCTTGTCCCTCACGGGTCAAGTAGCGAACTTTGAATATTGGCGAGTATAATAGATCTATACAGGTCGCAGTGTTACAGTTCTTAGCACCTGACAATAGCCCAAACCCCCAATTAAAAAGGGTCACATTTTATGAAACACTTCCCTCTTCCCCTTTCCACATTTATAGTTTGTAACTTGACACCCCTGGTGGTTCAGGCGTCTGAGCGGCGTATACTTGTTTACCATTGTAGTATAAAAATGTATACAGGAGATGATTACCACTTACCACCAGATGGGTCGTTAGCTTATACGGATATCACGTTATCATGTGACATCCGCTACTAGGGCATTCCCATTCTAGAGGACTAATATATCACGCCTCTTATGCTGTATACCGAAGTGGACAGTAGGGAAGAAAATATATAATGTAAAAACTTGACGTTCATAAGCGGCTGTATAAATATCCTATCCTATCCATAAATGTCCTATATGAATAAATGATTTTTAAATTTGAATTTGTAATTCTGCACCCTACAACCGAAACAGCTTACAAAGCAAACTGCTTGGCTGAAATAGGTGAGACTAAATACACGCAGACAAGTTTTTACAGTTTATATTGAACTGTAGTATCGTTAACAACCCCTCTGTTTACCCCATCAGGTGTAAGGGTATTAATTAAATATACAATATAATATTAGTGTGGCAGATGTATTATTTAAATTTTCTTACCGCTATGACCAGAAGAACTATGCTGAACTTCATTTTCCTTTAGATTTCCAGAAGTAACCTGCCCCGTACAGACTTTCGTGGGCAATTTATACTAAAATTATACAATAACGTCGAAATTTTGCACACTCTGCAAACAATAAAATTAAATACAACTTCAATATGTATTTTGCAGTTTACAGAAATTCGGATTTGTACAATTCTCTTTTGTTCGCTGTGCATTTTTCAGTTTATGAAATGATAAGTCGGTAAGTGAGAATTTTATGTAATACTAACCATATGTCTTGACTTTACTTACTTGGTTGAAGGTACCTGTTGAGTTTTGGGTCTCAAATAAGTCGTTGAATATCAACTAATATTAAATTCTAAATTAATTCAAATAAAAATATCTTTATTCACGTACATCTATTAAAGACTCTTATGATATGTTAAATCTACCGTCAGTTCGGAATGATTTCGAGGTGAGAAGAACTGATAAGAAATTCAGCTCGTATTCTTTTCAAATAAGCTTATACATGATTACAAAAATACAAATTCATTTTCGGCGGGTTATGATTGTAAATTTTTTATCTTTCATTTGATATATTATATACATATATTGTAATTTATGTATTATGTATTGGTTATTGTATTTTGGACATTAATTCTTCAAATATTTATATTTTTACTTATGTCATTATTATTAAATTTATTATTTGCACAATTTGACCCACTCAACACTTCCTATACCACACTGCCTTGGTTTGACTGGAAGAGATAAGTCCTGCTTTAACATCATCATCATTGCCTTGCCTTTATCCCATTATTTGTGGTCGGCGCAGTATGTCATTCTCTTCCACTGCTCTCTATCGGTTAATGTAGTCGTCATATAAACTAAATTTCAAAAGAACTGCATACTTTTTTTATATATTATAATTTTTTAAATCTTTTCAAAATCTTATCAACATTTATTCCTATCATCTTTCACACAGTCCATCCATCTCTTTTTCTTACCATATCATCTTTCACACAGTCCATCCATCTCTTTTTCGGCCTTCCTCTGCCCTTATAACCATCCACATTCATATGTAACACCAGTCTTAAAAAAGTAGAGGAGAAAAGTATTGGAGGAAAATGCCATTAATTTGTTTGCTATATGTATACTATTGAAGGAGATTCAGAAACTCTCAAGTATTGGTTTGTATTTATTAGTTGTAATTTTGTTTTATTTATTATCATTAATATTTTAAATAGTGCCCTCTCTCTCTCCCCCTTTTATATATATATATATATTAACCTCGTTATGGTGCGACTGAAAACCAGCTGTATGTTCACATAGGACATTAAAGCTGAGTAGAGCCATTTCAGTGCATATATGAATGTAAAAAGTGATTATTTTATATTTATCTTTAATTATCTACATGGTAAATTAAGTTTAATTATATGTACATTATATTTGATCTTCTTTTTATATTGTTTAATATGAATATCAAAAACAATATATGCTATATACTATAATCTCAAACGGGGTAATAAGAGTCATTGTCACCTGTGTCCGTGGTGGTGACAACACTTGGCATGTTCACATTTCGCTCCGTATACTTGAATACAACGCGGCAGGGGGCGAGCCTGGGGGCTAGACTGTTTTATGTCCTAGGCCCCAATGTTGGACATTCAGAGAAAGAAAGAAATAAAGAAAGAAAAATATTTTATTCAGTGCAATGTAAAAAATACAATATACATACAATAAAAATACAGAGCGGCGGATGTAGGGGCATCCAAAGCTCTCAGGAGGTGAGTGATCCGTGGAGGGTGGGCGCGGAGTCCCCGTGCCCCATTTGGAGGCCTCCTTCAGTGGAGAACGCAGTAGAGTAATGTACCATGTGCGGAAACCATCGTAATAAATTCTTAGTGAATTTGTCACGACGGGCTGACTTTACTAGCGCTTTGAGGTTAGAATTTATGACATGGTCAGCCATGTCATAAATTCTAACCTCAAATAATTTTGTAATTCTAACCTCAAAATATAAAAATATAAAAATACAATGTTACGACTTTCTTAAATTATAACTAAATAATAATATTATATAAATTAGCTATAATTTGACGGTGGCAATGATGAAATGTTTGTACAACTGATATAATATGCGTCAATACGAATTTAACTTATTTGATTTATTTTTAAATGAAGGTTAGTTAGTTATGTTCCGCTGACTTTAGGGGACGACAGCGGCAGAGAAATACTTGAGAAAAGAAAGAAAAAAAAACGTCTTCTTATTTCTTTTCTCAAGTATTTTATGTTGTTTATTTTACACACAATAAACAACATAAAAAAGGGTTATTAAATACAATTGTGTGTATAAATGTGTATAAAATAAACAACATAAAAAAAGGGTTATTAAATACAATTGGTTAATTAATGTATGGTATCAAGCTCAGGCGTACATAAGCTACGGTAACTATTTACCGTACAGATGGGCCATATGCTTGTTTGCCAGCATCGTAGTATAAAAAAAACGTCTCTGGTGGGGCACCAGTGGAGGATGAACATAAGGTCTGATCAGTTAGCTCATCTTGACAAATTCACCAGGAATTTAGCACGATGGTTTCCAGGGGAAACCTCGTGAAGGTCAACCTGATATGATACGTTACTAGAAATAAGGTCATCAGTCCACATTACGACAATCCTTCTTCCCCCGTTTGGGGTCAGTTCTCCTAGTCCTTCTTCGTCAGGGATTTGTTTTCGGACTACTGTAATACTGTTGGCCGCAGCTGGCCTTTACAGCTTCACCGGACGATAGGGCGCGAGTGCCTTTGGTTCCCAAAGAAAGGAGTCACGGAGCGGCTGAAGGCCAACTTCCGCCAGAAGGATACGACTTTAGTCTAGAGCACCGCTAGGGGTTCGAACTTTGGTTCAGGTCGTCGTAACTTTGATCCCCGTTTGAATTGGACGGTGCGATCGATCGGAAGAGTTTGTCAGACACGTCTGTCCTGGGTCGTCGAGTGGTTTATTTCGATTTCGTATATTTCCGACATGTTTAGCCTGGATAGCATACAAATACTACAAAAAATAAAAAATTTAAATGTTGAATAATCATAAAAAAAGGATGTCGTAATTATATAAAAGTTACAACATCGGTACATCTGTACATATAAATAAAATTGGAGTGTCTGTTTGTAACATTGAAATAACCGTTTTTTACTACATGCATATGAATATAAATACAATTTTTGTCTGTCTGTCTGTTTGCGGCTAATCTCTAAAATCGTTGGACCGATTTTTACGGGACTTTTATTAGCAGGTAGCTGATGTAATATGAAGTAACATAGGCTACTTTTATTTTAGAAAAATAAAGTTAAATTATATATATAAATATATAGAAAACACCCAGACAAACAATCATACTCATGAATACAAATGTTGGTACCGTGCGAGGAATCGAACCCGCGGACATCGGAAGTAAAGCGGTGTCCTAAACCGCTAGACAACCGAGGCCGTAAAAACCAATTATATCGAATAAGGAGGGTTATTAAGAGCTGCACCATTGTGGTTACTTCAACCCCTCCGATCGATCCCCCGTCCAATTCAAACGGGGATCGATGTTACGATGGCCTGAGCCGAGGTTCGAACCCCTAGCGGTGCCCTCAGACTAAAGTCGTATTCGTCAGGCGGGAGTTGGCCTTCAGCCGCTCCATAAGTCCTTCCTTTGGTTTGGAGTGCCATCTGCACTCGCCCACTAACGTCCGGTGAAGCTGTAAAGGCCAGCTGCGGCCAACAGCATTAGAGTAGTACGAAAAAAAAGTGGCTACTTCATCAGTCAATGTTTGCTAGAGTAGTTGAATGTTTTGTGAATAAAATTGGAGTGTCTGTTTGTAATATTGAAATAACCGTTTTTTACTACATGCATACCCATGAATATAAAACGGTATATATACACCAAAATAATATTTTTACAATTTTTGTCTGTCTGTCTGTCTGTCTGTTCCGATCTGATCCGGGTAATCTCTGAAATAGCTGGACCGATTTTAACGGGACTTTTATTGGCAGGCAGCTGATGTAATGAGAAGTAACTTAGGCTACATTTAGTTTAGAAAAATAAAATAAAATTACACGCGGACGAAGTCGCGGGTACAGCTAACCTTACTATATAAACACAAACTAAAAATTATTTATTGATATAGTTTTTCTTTCTTTCTTTCTTCATCCATTATATTTTGGATATCATATTCTAAAATCTGTAAATTAAGTACAAAATAAAAACTAAACTGAAATAAAATCATAGTTTTCAATCAGATTTGAACCCGCGACGTTCAATAACCACTACGCTACAACTCTATTATTTCAATATCATAATTCTTTGTTGTTATTGCATCATTACTATGTAAAATTATGTTATCTGTGGTATTACCATAAATAAGAGAATATTATATAAAAAAAACAATGTCAATTGTTAAATACAAGAAAACCTAACCAGGTTTTCTTAAAATAGTATATGTTGGTATGTCTATTTGATACTAATTTAAAAAACATATAAAAAAAGAATAAGCTATGTTCAAAATGAATACTATTGTGGGGTAAGGCCAGCTGCAGACGTATATTATATAGTATTTTAATCTTAATAATAACATTATTAAGAAGAAAATATAATAAAATAAACGCGATATAAAAAATATCTATATATATATATATATATATAACTCAAAGATGACTGACATAGTGATCTATCAACGCACAGCCCAAACCACTGGACGGATCGGGCTGAAACTTGGCATGCAGGTAGATGTTATGACGTAGGCATCCGCTAAGAAAGGATTTTAATTAATTCTACCCCCAAGGGGATAAAATAGGGGATGAAATTTTGTATGAAACTTTGTCAATTTTAAACTGATCGGGCTGAGACTTTGCATGCATAAAGCTACTATGACGTAGGCATCCCCTAAGAAAGGATTTTGATAAATTGTACACCTAAGGGGTTAAATTAACGCGAGCGAAGCCGCGGGCAAAAGCTAGTACATAGATATATTTTTTTATTTTCGTAAATAAATACATATTATAC